CCCGCGTGACAGGTTGTCTTCCACATCCACGCTGCCCTGTACTCTCTCCAGAAATTGTTGTAAAAACCCGAAGAGGTACACGATGTTCGACACCCCATATCTCTGACTATCCATCCGACGAAGTTCTCTGAGGAAAAAAACTTGTTGCGGCGAGTAGTCATACTCGCCATTTTCTTCCTCGATAACCTCGTGGTGTTCGTCGTTGCGGGGAGAATGACGGGTAACCCTTCCTCGACCTCGATGATGTCGTCGTCGTGTTAATGTCGCAAAGGTTGACCTGTCCCAGACTGTCGGCATGTGTGGCTGATGAGGCGTTGGTATTCCTCATCATCCGGCGAAAAATATATAAGCATATCATCCTCGAATGTTCTATAAGAGACATGATCGTATTTCTTGCTAGCTCGTTTACGGGGTCTTCCTCGTCAACAATGATGAGTATGTTGTCGTTGTGCGCCATTTTGTGATAAGCGAGAGAGAAGGCTGTTTGCTTTACGACCGTGATTGAAAGGCTTATATCGTCAACGCACTCAATGGAAGACACAGGCAGAGAAAATGGCGTGTAAGATGGGGGAGGTATTTTTCGCGATATTACGCGAGTTTATTTGGGGAAAAACTGGTGAGACGATGATGGCGACGACACGCACGACTGTGTATTAGAGACACTTAGGGCAGTTAAACCTGTTGGTGATGTATGTAGCAGCTATTTTCGAGGTGGTAGGTAAGTCTATGTGAAGGGAAAAATATGTAGAGACGGCGGGGTGAACACTCACGACTGCGTATAATAAGGGACGATTAGAGCGATTAGGTCGATTAACCTGTGCGTGAGGGGTTATTTTTGAAGGAAAGTGTGTAGAGACGACGAGGGTGGACACTATGGGTCCTGTATAATAGGGGACGATTGGAGCAGCTAGGCCAATTAATGATGTACGTAAGGGGTTATTTTCGAAGGAGAGGTGTAGAGGCGAAGGGGTGGACACTACCGATTGTGTATGATAGGGACGATTAGAGCAGCTAGACCCGATTAACGATGTGCGTAAGGGGATTATTTTCGAAGGAGAGGGTGTAGAGGCGACGGGGTGGGTACTCGCTGTTGTGTATGACAGGGATAATTATTATCGAAGGAGAGTGTGTGAAGAGACGGAGGAGTGGACACTAGCGGCTGTGTATAATAGGGGGTGATTAGATGCTAGACCCGATTAACGACGCACGTGGGGAATATTTTCGAGGGAGAAGGGGTGTAGAGACAGCGGGGTGGACACTCACGATTGCGTATAATAGGGGACGATTAGAGCTGTTAGGCCGATTAACGATGCGTGTATGGGTTATTTTCGAAGGCTTCGGCACACGCGGTGGTCGAAACGATTGCGTAATAAGAGTGGTTAGACCCACGAGCAGCAATATACGATAAACCGTGGACATATGGTGCGTAAGATAATAGAGGCGATTTTCGTCTTCCTGCTGCGCTTGTCGGACGTGCATGGTCATGTCTACATCGCGGACACGGTCAATTACCCTCTGGGGTGTATATGACCATTCACTTGACCATTCTCAAACCATACTGACTACAGCTCGCCATACAGTAAGACGTACTCCTGACCAGCTCTCCGCTACTACTACTGCTACTACCACGGCTATTACTACTACTACTACTACTACTTCTACTACTACTACCAACCATGGATTCTTCAAGCAATGCGTGTGATGCTGCTCCAGCAACCATGCTATACTGCTGGAAGTGTCCCCAGAAGAATGACCACGTATTTAAGAACTGCCCACTGGCGGTGTGCGGGAACAGGTGTGGGGGACAGGGGCACTGGGGAACAGATTGCCCCATGCCGTGCACCATCTGCCAGCAGAGTGGGCATTACAGGAGGAACTGTCCGTCCTTCAACATGGCCTCCTCTTCCTCCGCGATCACCGCCACACCTTCCGCGACTGCCACGACTCCTACACCGACTGCCACGACTACTCCATCATATGGCCATTGCTACAGGTGTGGGGACTCTGGTCACTGGGCTCCCCAATGTCCGACGGTCTCGTGTTACAAGTGTGGAGGGAGCGGCCACTATGCCCGGTCATGTGCGGGTGATGTCACCCCCGCTAAGAAGGTCAAAACGGAACAATCTAAACCCGCGGCAGATGACTGGGCCGACGAGGATGTACTGGTGGTCCCCGTAGAGCGGTGTGCAAAGTGTGTCGTGAAGACACGTGATGTTGGCACACAGACTACGGGGATAGTGATGTCGAGTATACAATACAGAAACATTACTCGTAGTGTGGATGGGAGTGAAAGGGGAGGGACCTTGGGGGTGGCTACCCCTATTGTGAGGAACATACAAACAGAGGAGTTGGAAGAAGAGGATGAAGATGAAGCCCTCAGCCCTCAGGGGCCTCTTGTATCTGATGATGACAACACCTCCCCTTTCCTCTCCCGCCCGACATCAGCACACTCTCCCCTCTTCATCGACGACGACGATGAAGAGGAAGGGGAGCACGCCCAGCAGCCGTCGTGGGACGACGACAACGACGGCAATGGAGGGGTTTTCACCAATTTTGAGGAGGCCTCTCATCACCCCTCAGAAAATACTGTGACTGTGGTTGCAGACGTGCACAGGAACGGCGAGACACCTACTCGCCGTATCCGTGTACGCAACCGGAGAGGTCGCCTCATTTTGTGAAATGTATAAAATTGTATGTATATATTGTATTATGTTGTGTTATATGTTGTATATATCTGTATTAAATTCTTTTTTGATATCGTACACATTTAGTTGGTGCTGATTCGCGAATTGTGGGAGTGTGGAAAGGTAGAAGAGAGCATTATGTCACACGTGCGCGCGCGCACACACACACACGTGCATGTACGAACACGTAATTTGTGACAGTTCAATGACCACGTGACGTCAATACCGTCGTTGTAGGGCGTGACGTCAGGGTGGTAGTATATTTTCGAGGTTGCGTCACCATCAAGTGACGTCACTACCTTCGTTTGTAGGTCGTGACGTCACGAGACCTATCGTCGTGACACGTCATACGTGTATGACGTCAGTGTCGTAGTATATTTTCGAGGTTGCGTCACCATCAGGTGACGTCACTACCTTCGTTTGTAGATCGTGACGTCACGAGACCTATCGTCGTGACGTCATACGTGTATGACGTCAGTGTAGCAGCATATTTTCGGGGTTGCGTCACGTTACGTCACCTCGGATATGTGCTGCTACCATATACCTGACTGTACGTAGTCCATTTTCACGTTTCCATTTTTTATGTCTGTATGTTGCTTTTTAATCTCACATATACTCGTCTAATTACACTAATGTCAGTAGGAAGTGGAAAACAAGGATAAGTTTGACCGGCGCAGAGAACGCGTTTACGAGAAGTAGGCGGTTCGCGGCAATGAGCAAACCCGTTTGGTTTGTGAAAGGTAGAGCAAATGTAGGCTAGTGTACGTGCATTACATGACGATGAAATTGATTCCGCGCGTAGCTGCACACGCCTTGCTCATAAGACTCTAAAATCAGTGTAGCAAGTCGCACTACACTTGATCGCGGACAACCTTGGGCCCCTTCGCTTACAATGGCAAGCGCCAATGGGCGGCACTCACACGTGCTAATACGGGTCAATTGTCAAGTCCGTGCTCACCTTATCCTTGTTTGCCAGTATCCTTGCATTCTGTGTCATATACAGACCCTGCCCCATCTGGCTTCTCCCTTATTTCCGCCGTGATATTGCTGGAATATTGCTACTAGCGGCGTAAAACTAAACTCTCTCATTCACTCTTCCTTGATTTCACGTTCAAATGTTTACACATGCATCTTCTTTTCCTGTTCATCGTTATTCTATCCTAATCAACCTTGTATTCTGAACATACACACGACCATTTCTCCACTTACTGTCTTCAGGGGGCGGTGGGGTAGCCAAGTAGTTAACGTGCTGGCTCGCCACGCCGAAGGCACGATTCCTCACATAGGTAGAATATGTGGAACACATTTCTGCTGTTCCCCGTCGCGATATTGCTGTAATGTTGCTAAAAGCGGCGAAAATATCTACTCAGTCACTCGATTCCTATCTTTAGATTATCAACCGCCTCCGTGGTGTAGTGGTTAGAGCGTCCGCCCGGAGAGCGGAAGGTCGCGGGTTTGATCCCCGACCGCGTCATACCAAAAGACGTTAAAATATGGTACTTGTTGGTCCCTGCCTGGCGCTCGGCACGAATGGGTACAACAAGGACTGGCCGGCTCGGAGTCAGAATAATGTGTCTGAGTGGATTCATGCTTCACTGCGGCCTGGTATCTCAGTGGGCTAGCACTATAAAACCAGCTTCAGTCTGGGCTAGTACAAGCAGCCGCACATACACATACACACACATGCACGTCGTCATATGAGCGACGTTAAACCCATTTTCACCTCACCTCACCTCACCTCACCTCACCTCTTTAGATTATCTATGTCTGAGTGTTACCCTCACATTCTCCGTTACCAGATGGCACTTGTTGTTACCCAACGAGCGGTCTGCTGTGCTTAGGTGATCCATGTTAAAATAGTAATAGTACAAGTCCGCTTATATGGCACCCATATTCAGACGCATTGCCTGCTCACGGCGCTACGTAAATCACTATTCCCGGTCATAGGACACAATGTACTGTTTGATACTTTTTTAACTCCCTGGGGATCATATAGCCATGCTGCCTGTTAACACTAAACACTCACATTGCCAGTACATCCTCACGGGTCCCCATTTTACAGCTGGGTGAACTGAGACAATGTGGATCTGAGAATATTGTCCAAGGATACTACTAAGATGTGAAATTGTATCACTAGGTTACGACTACAAACATAGGGTAAATACTGACAAGCACAAGCACCCATGCACACCCGTGCGCGTATATTTAAAGCGCAATAATCGTTAACGGGATGCCACGCCCATTTCACATAACCTCAGATTTCGACATAAATACATAACATGCTTTGTAATCACTAACATGCTCTTCTGTTTAAAGATGGAACCGTTTAAGATAAAGGTAGTGGAACCTCTACCAAAGGTCACACGAGAAGAGCGTGTTAGGCATCTCACGGCAGCTGGGTTTGAGCCGTTCTGTCTCCAGGCTCGTCACGTGATCATGGACCTGTGTACAGATTCCGGGACATGCGCAATGAGCCAGAACCAGTGGGCAGCCATGATGGGAGCTGACGAAAGTTACAAAAACTCAACCAGCTTTGAACGGTTTAAGAAGTCCGTACAGACTATCACGAGGTTCCGATACGTGATACCAGTCCATCAAGGCAGGGCCGCGGAGTCCCTTCTCTTCCGTTTAGTCTTAAAGGCGGGTTCCGTGGTGGCGAGTAACGGCTTGTTCTTCACCACGGAACACAACATAACACGACAGGGTGGGAAATGCATCGAGATACCTTGCAAAGAGTCACGTGAAAACAAATTCGGTGGCAACATTGACTGTGAACAACTCAACAACATTCTTGATGACGTAACCATCGTCGTCATCACAGTGACGAACAACGAGCGCGCTGGGCAGCCTGTTTCCATGGGCAATTTAAAGCGCCTGCAGCAGCTATGTTCTTCAAGAGGTATACCCGTGTTCATGGATGGATGTCGGTTTGCTGAGAATGCATTCTTCATTAAGGAAAGTGAACCAGGGCTTCAAAATAAACCAATACCGGAAATCGTCGCTGAGATGTTTTCTTGTGTTAATGGTTGTTTCGTTTCGGCAAAGAAGGATGGATTGGCAAATACGGGGGGGTTCTTTGCAACGGACGACAAGGCGCTATTTGATAAATTCACGTACGAGATGCTGTGGTCAGAAGGGTCTCCCGAGTACGGTGGTCTTGCCGGAAGAGACCTTGACGCCATTGCTGTTGGCCTGCAAGAGGTCATTGACGAGGACTACTTGCGTTACAGAGTAGCTATCACGCGAGAGTTCGGCGAGATTTTGAAGAGAGCAAATGTTCCTATTATTGAACCTGTTGGGTGTGCTGTACATGTAGATGCAGAGAAAGCCTTATCGCACATCTCACCTGCCGATTACCCAGCAAGAGCTCTCAACTGCGCTTTATACGTCGAGGGCGGCGTTAAAGGTGTACACTACAGCTATAAACAGGGAACTACTTTGGCGGAAGGGTTGCAGAAACGGGAAGTGTTACGACTCTCACTCCCGCGAAGGGTTTACACACTTTCCCACCTACTGTACGTCTGTGAAGTTTTCAAGCGGGTTTTACAGAAGGCTGATAGTATCTCTGGACTGAAGCGATTTTCTCAGAAAATAAACTACTCAGGTGCTCCGATGGTGCCAATACTTGGGTCTGTTTTCGCTTCAGACACTGTTGGTGCAGGTGCAGACATTGAGGACTAGCCGCCCAGGGGTACCTGGTAGGAACAACGTCTTATCCAATGATGTATACTACCCATCAAAAGTTTAGACTCACCGGTGTAAATATAGCCACGTACTTCAGTCATCTGTTCTGAAGTAGATTTTGCAAAATATTCCATACTGTTTAAAGGTACTGTTTACACATGAACTGATGCGTTGTAAAACAAATTCGTAACGTTCAAAACGTTATTGTCATAGGTTCAATAAATGATGAACCTCAGTGGAAATGGGAGAATTCTTCACAAAGCTTTACACTAAAACGCAGTTCACATGCACGATATTTGCACATGCTTTTCAGCAATTTGATGCATGATCCTCATGCATTTCATCTGCATAAGGTTTGCAGTTGGGTCCACAAGTTAGTGAAGAAAGTCATCTGTAACCATATATATATATGCTTAACATATAGTGAGGGCTTTAGGTGAGTCTAAACTTTTGATGGGTAGTATATAACATTAAGGCGAAGATCGACCCTTTATCATATCGCTATTCATTCGGTACCCAGTTGCAAACTGGGCATTATATTGCGCTTCAGCCTCGAACTGAGAACAGCATTCCAAGGCCCTTTCATAATTGTAGACCTCGCCTTCTGTGTTTAACAAAATAACGTATATTTGTATTTATATTTATAACATGAAAGAAAATATAGTTATGGAGTAGTAGTGTATTCTGTGTTGATATTACCTGGTCCATTTAATAAATAGTAGTTTTGGTACGACTATCGTTAATCGTGTTGTGTTCTTGAAGCATAGTGTCGAATAAGACCCAAACAAACTAAGCACATTATACTCACAGCACGCATGAAATTAACGTCACATTGACTAATATTCCGCCTACATCACGTCCAATCTAGGTCACTGGGTGTTATTATGATTATGTATGGTATGGTTCGCAATCACTGAACCCGAATCTCCATCTTGGTCTTCAGCAACCCATGCTTGTCGTAAGAGGCGACTAACGTGATCGGGTGGTCAGGTTCGCTAACTTGGTTGACACATGTCATCGTATCCCAATTGCATAGGTCGATGCTCATGCTGTTGATCACTGGATTGTCTGTTCCAGACTCGATTATTTACAGACCGCCATCATATAGCTGGAATATTGCTGAGTGCGGCGTAAAACAACAACCAACCCAAACCAAAACAACCAAACTAGGCTGGTCAGTGGCATGCCCATTTTCTTGCATTCTGAACCTGTGGGATGTTCCCGGCTCTCAACGTGTCCCTGTCTGGCGTGCTTCTCCTTCACCCTACCAGAATGAAGATCGGGGGGTCAAGGCAGGTGTGCGCAAAATTCACACGATCCCAGTCTTTCTGCCCCTATGGCGGAGACGGAGTGGATCAGACTGACTGACTGAGTTTGGTTTTACGCCGCTTTTAGCAATATTCCAGCAACATCACGGCGGGGGACACCAGAAGAGTGGATCAGATGATACACGTACATATTGATCAGTATATATGTGTATAACCACTCTTATGATCCTAAAATACAGGTACCATGTATGCTTCAGCTGGTCAAATATAATATTCCCTATATTAGCACTGAAAACCCATCCAATCGATTAAAGATTAATCAAAAAGTGGACACGTACGACCATATGCCTTGCGTTGAAAAATATATATGGATTGTAAAATCAGTGAGGAAATTATAATGGCAAAGAATGAAATATAAAGGATAGATAACGATAGGTTTGAACTGTAAGAAAAGAGCTTGAAACCTTTCGCCACTTGGTGAGTTTATCAGCAGTTGTTTGGCCGGTGCAGACACGTTATGTTTCGTCTTTTGGTGCAGGATTGTTGGAGAGGTTAAGGTTAATTGATGCAGCATGGACAGGGGCACAGAAGATGGGGGTTTCAAATAAAGACAGGGTTTTTATGTTTGTAATAATCTCGTTTTTTCTAGAGATATGTTGGCAGTTAAAGTTGTGAAAATATGAATGAACTCTCGTAACATTTATGAATTAGAATGTGACCTGGTTATCCATTGTCATCCAGTCAAAGCGCTCCAATATGAGTCAAACCCGGACACCACGTGTGAACCCTGCACGCCACACAGGTGTCACGCGAGTCTTGTATCTCACTATCTGTTCGTTCACCGCGTGGGTAATAAAAATATGTTCACGAGTAGCATTCCGTACATCTAGCAAGCTACGCCCCTGTAATAATCTCCAGCTTGAATCGGCTGGAGAAAAAGCGGTGATAATATTTTGAATATGGTCTACCTTTGGTTTACTAATGAACTTAACATCGATTTATGTGAAAAAAATATATTAAAAATATAACGTATATTTTTAAATATACATATAACTCCATCCCGTCTACAGTAATGATGAGCTAAGTCCTGTCCTGACCGACACTTTGTGCGCACGCTGACATTTTACGTATGCTTCCGTGGCTATTGAAACAATCAAGCAATACCACAAAACACCTTATGTTACCGCCTTAATTACAGTGCTACCCATCGGGTACAGTCCTATGTGACAGTATCACATTTTTCATATTAAGAATGATATATTTTGTACACTAATCTTTCTTGATTGACATTGATCGTAACATATACTCATAGAAAAAAGTAAGGGAACACATGAAAGTACAAGTGTTCCTTTATGTATTTCCGGAATTTTACTCACACTGCAATACATACCTTGTGAAGAAACCTGGAAAAGAATAAAGGAACACTTGTACTTTCATGTGTTCCCTTATTCGTTTCTATGAGTATATTATGTGATTTGCGACACTGTTACCTTTGTACCACTCCTTCCGTCTCCAAAGATGGTCCAACTTACTGTGTACAAGTGTTGGCCTGTTGCATATTAATTTTGCATTTTTATCCGATTCACTTCAAAATTTGGCAGTGATTTAGACGACTTCAAAGTGAATGATGATGATGATGATGTGTGTGTGTGTGTGTGTGTGTGTGTGTGCTAGCCTAGTGGTTAAAGCGTTGGCGTGTCACACAGAGGATCCTGGTTTGATTCCTAACATAGGTACAATGTGTGGAGCCCATTTCTGGTGTCCCCGGCCCTGATATTACTGGAATATTGCTAAAAGCGGCATAAAAACATACTCACTTACTCAAAATAATGGGACTGTTTCAATATATTCAATAATTTAATGAATAAAAGAAAAAAATCATTGGTAATGCGAATGATCTCGCCCCCCAACCAGGGAGAAACTTTGCGCGATCTATCAGCGAATGGTAAACGAGGCTATCACAAGAATGGAAACCCCGTAATCGCCAACGTACATTCCATACCTACAAATCGACACCGTGGACCTAAAGACAATAGTAGGCGAACTGTTGGGTTTAATAGAAATAGTTCCAGATCTAAGAGAAAATAGAAACATATGCCAGCTCGTCTAAACGCATCTCTACGGACCCTCAACGACACGTTTCTACATGTTTCTATGTGTTTTCTTGATTATGTGAACAAGGTGATAGATTTGTTTCACCTATGAGGAACATAGGTTAGTGCGACAGTTTTCATCTTTTACCAAATAACAAGTGTTTCTCTGTGTCATGTACATGGGGCGTTAGAAGGCAGAATTATGCCATACATAAGAAACTAATTTGTCAAGTTGATAAAGAATATTCACTAACGAATAGCATATACTGAAAAGCCTAACAAGTGTTGTTTCATCATTGAATAATATATCTACGGAAACGTAGTATAGATATTATAGGGACCGTTCATAATTTATTGCTAGGGGGTTGATGACTGTTTTAATAGAGAAGCATGTACACTGTAAATGACCCCCCATATAATTTACGTACAAAGAAAGTCTCCCCACCCCCACCCCTCCCATCCCGCGTGGCATGTATAAAATCAACAAATTATTTCAACCCTCCCCCACCCCCATCCCGCAGTACATGTGTGCAAATTTGAAAAATTTGATGATCCCCTACCTCCCGTAAACAAAATGGGTTAATCTCGCCTCATCTCCTTGTTGTTTGTTCGTGGTTTACACTTACATATTTAACGAACTGATTCCGAGCACTTTTTAGTTTCAACTTGGGAATCGCCACCTCATGGAATCTTCACCTCGTGGGCACTCGTGAGCATATACCACTAAACTCACACACCTAATTTTATTGAGTATGTACAATGTGAATGATCCTTCTAACATTTAGGTACACAGTAAGTCACCCTCCCCACTGCATGTCATGTACAAAATCAATGACACGCCACTCGACATAAATTTTAAGCATAAATTTCTATATACTTAGATACAAATTGCCCCCCCACCCCCGACGAACGATGTAACAAAAGAAAGTTGTTATCCTTAAAATCGTGTTTCTTTTTTATCTCACCACCTTATGGTATGCTTGTCAAACATATTTTCTTATTTACTCTTGTCACAGAACCTTCGCACATACAAAGAGATTTTACTGCGCTTCATTTGGTTTGATGAGAATAAAGCGCAACTGTGATGTAAAAACGGTTGTCTCCCATGAGAAAATACATTCGCTTGCGCGTGAAATCTAAATTGCAAAATAGATGTCAAGAACAGTCATAAATGTATGGGTTTGTTTTCATATAGAGTGATTGAGTTTGGTATTTGTGATTTTGGGAGGAAGGCCCTAAGTCATGATTTGCTTGGACCAGTAACATGGGCATTCCCATAATGGGCGAATACTTCACACAACTCATTAACATCAGGAACTGGCGAGTTTGGTTTTACACACGGCTTTTAGCAATATTCAAGCACTGTCACGGTGGGCATACCAGTAATGTACTCATGTTGGGAATCCACCTTGGTCTTCGGTGCAACTAGTGAACACTTTAACCAATTTGGGACCCGCTCTCCCCTCAGAAATGAAAGGGAAAGAAAGTACCCTTGTTTTTGAGCATGTGCCATTCAATAGTCAATTGTGTTGTTTATGCCACTTTTGGCAACAGGCAGACTAGAATGTGCTTCACATATTGGACATGTTGGGAATGTAATCTTCTGTGTGAAGAGAATGCTTTAATGATCAGTATTGATACTTTTGAAAACACCACATTGCATTTCTAAAGATATCTTTCAAGACACTGAGTTACCAACTGCTTCACATGTCTTGCATTCATTAAAATAACACTCTACTAAGTTTCATTCTGCTGTTAACATTTCCTAATTATTCAAAACAATTAGGCCATATTATATATTTGCTCTTGACAGACAAATACAATTTTCAGTAAAATTATTAAAAATAAGAGGTTTAACGAGTCGAGTCAGGCTTGCAATACTTCCTCATTGGTCCATCACAGATTAACAGATGTGGAAATGGTACTGAGATGATGGACTGACTGACTGACTGAGTATGGTTTTACACCGTTTTTAGCAATATTCCAGCAATATCACGGCGGGTGACACCAGAAATGGGCTTCACAAGTTGAACCCATGTGGGGAATCGAACCCAGGCCTTCGGCGTGACGAGCGAACACTTTAACCACTAGGCTACCCCACCGCCCCACTGAGGTGATGGAGGTGACATAATGATGCATGTATCTTTAAAACTTCATTAAAAATTGTTTTAAACTTTCCAAAGTGCCAGGTCTTGAAACAATCAAAAAAGAACATATTTGTAAAAAAGATTGAAAGTGTGGAGAATCCAAACCAACCATATATCGCATGGGACAATAAAGCATCTTACTGCAGCACATCTTACTAAAGTACAACAGATGTTTCGAAAACACACAACACAAAAACTTGGATTCACCCAGACAGTTTATTATCTGTATTTACAATTTTTCTTGTTTGTTTTTTAATCCCTCTTTGCCCGTCCGGCCTTCTTGACAACAATTGGCTTCTGGCTCCGGAGGATGGCGCCAGCTCGCCGCACTGCAGCCTACAACATGAAAACACCCACTCAGTTTGTGCTGAGATTGTCCTGCTACTATGTAAAACCACTCTAACATTTGGCAGGTGACATAACTTGTTCACTGGTCACGAGGGGGGATACATTGGATAAGATCAAGATCAGTTTTGTGAATTACAACTGTATGAAATCTTCTTGCCTGAAGAGTTACATTGGGACCACTGCAAACTGTTTCAAATTGGATGAAGGGATAAAGTCACCAGTATCATACTTATTAAGGAATTTTTCACGCTGGGAGGCTTTCCCAAAGTTGAAAAACACCCCATCTCCCTGCCTACATCATTTTTTTACAAAGCAATTGCCTGAGAACCAATTCTTTCAATTTCAAGCCTATAATCCTGGTTAGTTACCATCTTCAAGTCTTTCCTGTACTTGTTTCTCCTGATGGTCTTCCTGATAGTAGCGAACGTCCGGCGGGGATCACGCTTCAGTTCAACACGAGTGAAGGATTTGTTGGGTTTGCGGCCTCCTGGAAGTGAAACAGTGAGTGAGTGAGTGAGTGAGTTAAAATTGAAAGTCACATCGGCATTATTTCAGCCATATCATGACGGTGAAAGTTGTATATAAATAAAACAAAATTATACTATATTAATGCCTGCTGATAGAGGACAGTAAAATATAGGGGTGAAATGGTATACTGTGGTATTTTGCCTTCGGTTTGGTATACAATAATGCAATCCAAAAATGCGTTGTTTTTGGCTTTTGTACCATCATTTTATTAACCTTTTCAAACCTTTTCTAAAATGTCTAAAAATCAAATCATTTTGTTATAACCTATGTATTCCTATAAGGTTTAGCTCTTGTTGAATGTCAATTTTCTGCATTATGATTATATCTCATATACCGAACCAAAACGAAGGCTTCATAACGCAATACGTACTGTGGTAAAAGCGTACTGTTTCACCCCTGTAAAATAACTCGACTGCGATTATCACAGACTTAGACTTAAAACTAGCATGCTATCATAAAACAATAATTCTAAACACAACAATACGAGTGAGTGAGTTTAGTTTTACGCCACACTCAGCAATATTCCAGCTATATGGCGGCGGTCTGTAAATAATCGAGTCTGGACCAGAAAATCCAGTGATCAACAGCATGAGCATCGATTTGCGCAATTGGGAACCGATGACATGTGTCAGCCAAGCCAGCAAGCCTGACTACCCGGTTCCGTTAATCGGCTATTAGAAGCATGGGTTACTGAAGATTCATTCTAACCCCGACCTTCCTGGGTCCAATACAATATGAAAACGGGGTAGAGATTGCCAACAACTGAAGGCAGATCACCATGGTGACTTACAGCACTTTTGCTACCTGCATGTGAAACAACACTAGCTTCATTGACAATGGAGCCAGTAGTGGCTACACTTTAGTAGGATGTTCTTACTAATCCATTCGAAAATGAGCTAGTTTTACTTTTTCGCTGCTTTTAGCAATATTCCATCAAGGTGGGGGACACCAGAAATGGGACTTCACACATTGTACCCATGTGGGATCTTCGGCATGACGAGCGTATGCTTTAACCTCTAGGCTACTGCACCGCCCCCATTTGAAGTGAAGTGAAGTGAAGTGAAGTGAAAGTGGGTTTAACGTCGTGCGTGAGAATATTTCGCTCATATGACGACATGCACATGCGTGTATGTGTATGTGCGGCTGCTTGTACTAGCCCAGACTTAAGCTGGTTTTATAGTGTTAGCCCACTGAGATACCACGCCGCAGTGAAGCATGAATACCCCACTCAGACACATTATACTGACTCCGAGCTGACCAGTCCTTGTTGTACCCAGTAATGCTGAGTGCCAGGCAGGGCCCAACAAGTACCATATTTTAACGTCTTTTGGTATGACGCGGTCGGGGATCGAACCCACGACCTTCCGCTCTCCGGGCGGAGGCTCTAACCACTACACCACGGAGGCAGTCTCCCCCATTTGAAGATGGAACAAGGACCCTTACGACAAGTGTAGTAATGGACAGTGATCCATTCTAACCAGGAATCACCACAAAGATGCTAGTACACCACTCTCTCCAGCCGATAAGACTGAGTGATTGCTGTTCAACACCGCATTCAGCAATATTTCAGCTTTATGGCGGCAGTCTGTAAACAATCAAGTCTGGGCTAGACAATCCAGTGATCAACATTATGAGCATCAATCTACGCAAATAGGATACAATGATGTGTCAACCAAGTCGGCGAGCGTGATCACCTAATTCCCTCAGTCACCTCTTACTACAAGCATGGGTTACTAAAGACGAATTCTAACCCGGATCTTCATGTGTTAATTTGTTTGGTAAAATTTCAATACTTATTACTGTATTTAATTTGAGGTTGAACATAGACTGTCAGTACAAGTGCCATTTTACTTTCTGGCAATTTCATTTCATTATGTTCATACGTTTTCTTGTTTTGCATGATAACTTTGAAAATGTTAAGATTGCTTAACCTCGAACCTGACCATTCGTAGAGTTTACAATCCATGAATTCTGATAATATGCAGATGTAACACAAACCACCACTGACCAGTTGAATTTCTGGTGACCAAGACAACGCCCTTTCCGTCCTTTGCTGGCTCCACACCAAGAGTCTTCTTGCGGATCAGACCATTGTAACGGAAGGAGTTGATACCCTTCAAGTTGTTTTTTTCCTGCAATAAGAAAAAACCCCATGTAGCAGAAATATTTTTTGGTTAAATGCCCCATTCAGCAAAATTCCAGCTATAAGCTGATATTAAGATCGGACTCCAATTGCTACAATGACAAGTTCCATTGGGCCAAAATTTTCGACTTTGTGAAACAACCCACTGAAATCACACTGCCTGACAAGACGACCTATTTAGTCGCGTCTTACAAGAAGCACCAGCTGCTCAGAATCTGTATTCCTACACAGAGGAGTTTTACTATCTCGTATACTCAGGGGTGGAAATAACCCATTTACAAATTTGCTTGCCCGACAGAAAAAAACACTGGACTCGGACGTCTGGCAAGCAAATTTGTATATCACACTGTACCGGTGTCCAGTTGACTTTCCAATGTTAATTATGTTCTTTATTTAAAAAATCAACAAGAAAACGGACGGTATAGTGGAAAAATTATCAGGGCAAGTGATTTTACATGTGCCACTGTACCGGAGTACACTAGCACTGTTAAAGTTATTTCCACCCCTGTATACTGTTCGAGTGCAAGTGTACCGTGCTGATGGTGAGTCTGGGTCTCTTCAGCAAGAAGGAGGAGTTGTTCCTGATGATCATCCACTGTAGGTCGGCCGACATTGTGACGACGATGGTCAGCTGAAGCAGACAAATTACCAATATAACAGTCTACATTTACTTCATGGACTTGCAGGGATCTATCTACATGTGCTCAGACGACCTGGTTTGGCCCCAGTCCACAACATGTCAGCAACATCAGCATGGTTAGAACACTGACTGATGGACTGAGTTTGGTTTTACGCCGCTTTTAGCAATATTCCAGCAACATCACGGCGGGGGACACCAGAAAAGGGCTCCACACATTATACCCAGCATGGTTAGAAGAAAATATTTCCCTGTCTATCTGTGAATCAATGCCTAGGATAATATCATAAGTAATATATAACTTCTTGTGGCTTGGCAAAAAAAGAGTTCTATTTCACTGATAACAGGCTGAATAAAGTGGAATAGGTACAAATCTGTGTTTAAAGCTTTTCGCATTACTCAATGGAATGAACTGTAAACTAAAATGTCTGTTAACATAAATGTTTCACAAAATAACTAACTCTTCCCAATTTGTCTGCCAAGGTTCATAGTTCAGGTTTCATAGCTAAATCTCCATTGTTTCTTCAATCAAGTTGGAGAGCCTGCTCACCTAATCCTGTCAGTTGCCCTTTACAAGCATGGGTTGTTGAAGACTAGTCTGCCTATCAACAGAGTGAGTGAGTGTGGTTCTACGCTGCTTTTAGCAATATTCCAGAAATATCATGGCGGGGAACACCAGAAATGGGCTTCACACATTGTTCCCATGTGGGGATTCGAACCCGGGTCTTCGGTGTGACGAGCGAACGCTTTAACCACTAGGCTACCCCCACACCCCTCTATTAACACAGGATGTTGTTTGGGTGCTTGCAAAACATGCCTGGTGAAAGCTTTCTATAGTTTGCTTAACCATCCATGCAACATTATAGTCTGTTTGCAGTGAAAACGTACTGATGAATTTCATTTAAAAAAAAAAAGTAAATCAAATAGAGTGAAATTAAGATTGCAAATCCTCATAATTTTACCTTGCCAACTGAACATTTAAATCTCAGAATTTTATTCAACTTAGGATAAAAGTTGTTTAAAGGTCATATGCAACCAAAATATCAAACAATTTAAACACAATTATCACTTATTCATGATTATGAAAAAACATATAAACAAAATAATAAGTGTACAATCACAAATCAAAAGTGCAATATTGTGTACTTGGGTTTACTTCCCTAGAAACGAAGCAGCCGGGATACCGAACCCAGTCAGAGCGGGTGGGTGTGCACTCAAGTGTAACGGCTGGTTCATTTGCAGATGCCCTCACGGCTCATTGTGTGTGTATATATAGAGATGATGGGTTTTGTAAATACATGCTCATTTTTGTGTATAACATTTTTCAATCAACAGACATCATAACATGTCATGTGTACAAGTATCACACCTGCCTGTCTGTGTAATTACATAATGTGAAAGAGACTGAACTCAGGCCATAAATCAATGCGTTTTGTTTATGGTGTATAGCCTGATAGGTGTTAAGTTCAAATTGCATGTGGTCAGTGATCGAAGTTGTGTATTGAATATTGTCATTAGCAGACAGGCGGGCAGACACATAGGTGTCAATAAAACCGACATTGAGTTTTGTCTGTGACAACGACATATCTATATCACAGTTAGAAATTCTGTCAACGCTAAATAATGACATTGCTTTTAAGTATCGAACTGAGAAGGTGACTCCGTAAGAAGAACAGTTGGTAATCTACTGTCATAACATATAAAAAGCTCGCGCCTGTGAAATATTAACAACAAAACATTTTAAAAAATAGCTCACACCAAAGCTTTCACCGAGTATTCACCGGACAACCCGCTTCCAACCTGCGCGAAACTATTAGTGAATCGTTTGAACTCTGGGTTTTTTCATCGTGTTATTTTTCAACTTTATAAGTTGAATTTGCATTTTTGATGATTTGCTTCGGTAAGTCCATACCGAAAGGTATCAGAATCTGCAAAGTTGTATTTTACGTTTCATGTGACCTTTAACAAACGATCATAGTTTCAAATCGCTATTTTTGGTTTGTATTGCAAGGGGGGAATGCACATTAAATGAAACACCGAGAACCTTTTGGGGTTGGTCTGACTGACTGACTGAGTTTTGGTTTTACGCCGCTTTTAGCAATATTCCAGCAACATCACGGCCGGGGACACCAGAAATGGGCTTCACACATTGTACCCATGTGGGGATTCGAACCCGGGCTTTTGGCGTGACGAGCCAACGCTTTAACCACTAGGCTACCCCACCGCCCGGGTTGGTCTGAGTTAACGCTCATCACGTACAGCACGTGCATTTGTTTCATTGTTCCAACTAATGCGCTTACCCCCTTGTAGTACAAACCAATAATAGCGATTTGAAACTATGATCGTTTGTTAAACAACTTTTATCCTAAGATGAATAAACTTCCGAGATTTAAATGTTCAATTGGCAAGGTAATTATGAGGATTCGCAATCTTAATTTCACTGTATTTGATTTACTTTTTTTGTTTAAAGTGATATTCATCGGTACATTTTCACTGCAAACAGACTATAGCTGGATGAACTTTCGGACTAACGATAAATTTTCCCTGCATTTTCAGGCTTATAAACATGTATCAATAACGCAGGCTGACTGTTTACAATTACAAGGCATAGATCTCAAAGGAATATTCAGAAGATGTATGAAAATGAATCCTCGTCGGCAACAATGAAACTTTTCATGTCATTCTGATGTATGCAATCTTTCATTCATTGGCCTTTTGCAAAGATGAGCCAGTGAATGAAGTTGAATGATTTAGCATAAAACAATGCATCTTGATGGGATATCACACTGGGTGTGGGAACTTTAGACCCGTTTTGCTTTATGGAACAAAATGATAATATTAATATTATCACTATTTTTGCAGAATATTTACACAATTTTCCTATACCTCAACAAGTATTTTTTTTATTCATGTGACGACTTATGATTGGCTGGCTCGCGTCCTAAATGAAAGACATTTTCATGGGTTGCATGTTTTGTTCAAGTTCCCTAGTTTTATCCAGAATTATTGTGTTAACTCACAGCTTTACACGCTTTCCCAAACAACGAAGTCTTTGTGATAACAATCAGCAAGCATTTCATGCTGTAAGGTGTTTTCACTACTTATCTTTTCGATCGCCCAATTTGCGGTTGTGTTGAACCAAATATTAATGAAACAAGAGTTTACATCATGACCAGTGTTGTGGAGATGCAATGAGTCAGATAACATCCCCCGCACATCGTAGACCGACCAAAAAGAGCTTTGGAACCGGCTACCTTCAGTGAACTATTTTGAAAATTAGTGAAACGTATGTTTCAAGCTGAAAGAATGATTTACTAAGTGAAACATCAGAATGGAAAGAGAAGCGAAGCACATGGCATGTGCCTGGTGTTTAAAGAGAGCTGTATTTCATGATCAGCCCTTTCTACGTTCATAATTTTAGGTAAAGGTGATATGTAGTGCCTTTACACTGACCACTCCTTATCGAACAATCATAATTTTCAGAATTAGTACAATTATTCGCAGTTTTCTACGACAACAATTGCAAAGTTCGTATACCTCAACGTGAGAATTGAAAAAGAGGCTGATCGGAAGTAATGGGACTATAATATTCCTTCGCCCGCTAGAGGAAAATATTATCTACACAACTATTTAACACTGTGCCTCCAATGACAGGACCTCATATGGATTCTATTAATGATGCCTCAATTATTTCTTGTTTATTTTGTCGATCACACCTTTGACTGAATTCTTGCTGATATTCGAGTAGTGTAATAGTTTCTGGCTTACAAATAAACCGCCATTTTCATAGTTAGATATCAATTGTTAAGTCAAAATTCGTGCAAACTATGTATTTGAATACTTTGAAATTAATTTGGTTCAACTAGGGATAATCTACGTCTTCTTTTCTCCCTGGTTCAACGAAAACGAGGGGCGATCGGGTAGCCCAGTGGTTAAAGCTTTCGTCCGTCACGCCGTAGATCCGGGTTCGATTCCCCACATGGGTACAATGTGTGAAGCCCATTTCTGGTGTCTCCCGTCGTGATATTGATGGAATATTGCTAAATGCGGCATAAACCCAAACTCACTCAACCACTCAACGAAAACGACTCGATTATTTTGGCATTCTTTCAGACTCAAATATACCAAAAAATGTTAAAATAGTTTCACAAGAGCTAAATTTGGAGGAAACTCTGTATGTAACAAATATAATAATGCGGACGTTTTCTGTCTCGGCAATATTCCAGCTACATGACAGTGAGTCTGACTACACAATCCAGTGATTGACATCATAAGCTAATCATAGACGCAATCAGGATAAGATGACATGCATAAAACTACATCGGGAGATGTAATGATGACCACTCGATCTTATCATGCAGTCGCCTCCTACAATAGTCGCCTATTACCAGGATCTTCTGAGCCCTGACATCTAGACCGCCTCCGTGGTGTTGTGGTTAGGGCGTCCACCCGGAGAGCGGAAGGTCGTGGGTTCGATCCCCGACCGCGTCATACCAAAAGACGTTAAACTATGGTACATGTTGGTCCCTGCCTGGCGCTCGGCATTAATGGGTACAACAAGGACTTGTCGGCTCGGAGTCAGTACAATGTGTCTGGGTGGGGTATTCATGCTTCACTGCGGCATGGTATCTCAGTGGGCTAACACTATAAAACCAGCTTCAGTCTGGGCTAGTACAAGCAGCCGCACATACACATACACACGCATGCACGTCGTCATATGAGCGAAATATTCTCAAGCACGACGTTAAACCCAATTTCACCTCACCTCACCTCACCTGACATCTACCCTAGCTGATCCGTGGTCAGAGGTCTACGTTTACACTGTACTGATATCATATATTATATGACAATAAGGGCCAATTATACATATTATTTTTTACCCTGTCAGACAGGTAGGTAATTTATTTTTCATATCTAAAAATGTGTGAAACATACAGCGTGGATCATGTTTGTTTGTTTAGTTATTTACTATAAATTGGGATAGATATATATCGTTGACGAATTATTAGTCATTCGCTAATAATGCTATATTGAAATATGCCACGGTCTGCCCTTGCGAGTACCATCTCAAGTTGACAGACAGGCAGTTTTATTCCATACAAAGACCACTGGCCCAAAATACAAATCATTTGTCATTTAATAATTAAAGCGCACATAAGATATGTAATCAATGAATATAGGATTTCCTGATTTTGTTGACACATTTATAACGTTTGTCTGGGGTTTTGAACAATGTTGATGATAATATAAATTGTTGTAAAACAAACCGTATATGTAGGGACTACATTTTGCTGCGTGAGCGTATCCGGCTCCGAATTGCCGGAAGTTATTGTCGCTTATTATTTCACAGGTCGTGTCAGCATGGAGGTGTTTGACAGATAGTTGTTGCGAATGTTGCTCCCTTTCAGGGATGTTGATGTCATGTTTGGTCGGAATATATATATTTTGCATATACCTCCCACATGTCAAAAGCAACGATGCCAAAGAAACATGACATTCTTTCGGAACATCTCTATATCAAAGTGGAAGAGTTGAAACCGAAACATTCCCTGCACAAATTACTGGGATGTTGTTAGACGAGAATGACGAGAATGTGTTGAAAATGTTAGAAAACCCTTCCCATCTGAAAAATTATGTGGAAAAAGCTGTGCAAACATTGGATAAACACAATTTTACGTCTGAAAGTCACAGGTACAAACTGAAGCTGAAGGGGTCGTTGTCGGCACAGGTACGATACAGATATGTACCCCAGGTACGTTTCTGTATACAGTAATGTACCCTAAACAATGTCAAAATACAGAAACGTACCCGGCACCTTGCACGTCCATATTTCGCAACCCAAAAACGAAACTGTATGTAGTTGTTCCCGTTCAACTGATTGCAAATGGTATTGTGCTCCGCGAAATATTCGTTACCGTGTATGGTCGTTTCTTATAGAACGCAATCAAATGCATCTAATTCAGCTGTATGACAGTTCCAATCAAGAAAACAACACACTAGGGTACGTTTCTGTATTCCGATTTTGGCTAGGGTATTTTTCTGTATACAGAAACGTACCTGGGGTTCACATCAGTAGTACCCGTGCCGACAACGACCCCTTCTGCCAAACTGAATGTTTCAGGGTGTTTGATTATCAGGATATAATCTAGAAGATTCTTGGGAAAGAGTTCCTTCAGTTCCCCCAACCCTAAACCTAACCCTAACTTAAATTTTGGACTTTGAGTCATTTTGTGAGTTCTCTAGTAATTGTTGTGTTAAGTTTTGTTAATAATTTCAGTATATTTATAAATATTATTTGGGATGGGGGAACGGGAAGAACTCTTACCCTATATCCCAATCATTCTTATGTGATAGTTAGGCAAGATTACAGAATACCGGATACCCGCCATCTTTGAAAGCACGCAAGTTTACTTAGGGTTAGGATAAGGTTTAGGGATAGGCTGACGTGACACTAAACAATATGGCTGATAGGTATTCTGTAGGTGTACCGATAGTTAATTAAAGGTAAAGATGTACTACATTGTGTACCACGGTGTATGTCATTGTTGACAGTGGTTCATGTTTTAAATGTTTCAGTATGGACTCAAGTGTTTCAGAATAGTTATCAATGTTTCAGTGCATTCTGTAATGTGAGGAAGTCCGCAGCAGAGTCCAGTCCAGAACTCTGTGATGCCCTGTATGCCAAAATATCTGTTCTTGAACCATCAATGCCATCAGAGTTAACAGGTACAGTAGTGTTCCACTTTGCTCCATGAGGCCTAAAAAGAAAAATGCTGTGGTTGCCGATTACCCGACCAACCCTTGAATTCTAGTGCCGATCCAATTTTTTTTAGAGGTATGATGTATGCTTTTAGATGACGAATTTTTTTCTCAGCACAAACAGACATTGGCCATTCTGATAGGGACAGTCAAAACAATGGCTGCAAGAGGGCAATCTAAACCTTGATTGAATAAACAATTACACATTGATAAATGTGCTATTAGTTTGTACTTCTGGATAAAAAATGAAAACATCCTACCTACCTACCTACTACCAAACTTTTAAAGAGGTGTAATCTGAACCACACCATTTTTTTATATTGGCCTGATTGATTTATATTATCATCTCACCTATACTGAACCACAAAAGAAATGTCGTGACTGATAGGGTTTCTTAAAGCACACACTTTAATTCACTCTAACAATCAAAACTTGACAATTATGGTTAACACATTTTCGGGAAATACATTTAGAGTTCACACAAACAAAATCATCAAAAATGGTACCATTAAGATACCCCAAAGTCAGTATCGTGTGTGGTCTCTATGGGCATTGCTGAAATCGTTGCATCGTCTGTACATGGAATGAATTGGCCAGTCGATGAAGGTCATGCACACTTGGGTCCATACTCTGCGAAATGCATGATCGAGTCTAGCCGTAGTTGTCGGCCTTGGTTGGAGGCCATTCAGTCTTTTTTGAATCTTGTCCCAAAGATGTTCTACTGGACTTAAATTCGGACCTAGTGCAAGATTTTGTAGGGTTTGGATGCCATGCTATCTTAGGAAGTCCAATGTTGCTCTGGCAGTGTGGGCACGAGCGTTGTCTTGCTGGAAGATGTGATTTCAGTAACGTCAAAAATGTGGTACAACGTGGAGTCTTATGACTTAATCAATATAGCGAGCAGTTGTCATGTCATTTCCTCATCCTGGACCAAGATTCTGGAACACCACGGTATTAACTAACTGGTTCAGACCGATTGCACCCCACACTATGATGCTTGGACCACCCCACAAGTCTCTTTCAACAATACACTCATTGGAAAACATTTCACCACGCCCTCGCCATACTCTCACTCTGCCATCGACTGTCGAAACGCAATATCGGCTTTCATGAGATAACAGCACAGTTCTCCACTGTCGATAACGCCAATTTCAATGCTGAGTTGCCCATTTTGGTCGGTTTTGGCGGTGATGAGCGGTGAGGACAGGACTACGATATTGTCTGTGACAGTAGAGGTTTCTTCCACGCAAACGTCCACACATTGTATCGGCACTGTATCACTGTGGTGAGCCTAAATGGTCTGCTGTGCTGTTTCCGCCGTCCTTTTGGGGAAGCGATTCTGCTGATGGTTGCGCACAGCCTGGCAATCTTGATGTTGTGATGTTACTGAATGTAGCCCACTGCATGGACTGTCTTGGATGCTGTTAGTGACCTGATACCACTCCTGCAGTCAGTAGATTGTCCTACCATGAACATTAAAATGATTGGCTACCCTCCGTGCAGTCTGGACAACTTGCAACCGTCCCACGACTTGGTTACTCTGATTTCTCGTAAGATGTGGCATGGTGGCTGTGTCAAAATAAAAATGATTTCAGGTGAGTTTGGGACTCGCTTTCATTGGTAGGGTTGTCACAACATGCACATGCATTTTCATTTTCACGAATGTCATACGGAACCTTTTACCATGTCTGCCTTTTTCAGTGCATTTGGTCGATATGCTTTTTCATCAGAAAACACACTGATGTTGGTAATAACTGTCAATTTGGATTGAAAAACATGTTAAGAAAACGGTACAATCATAACAAAAACACCACCTTGCAAGAACAAAATTTTGCATTTGGTTTTGAAAAGGGACGTTTCTTTTGTGGTTCAGTACATAATACCTTACATCTCGTATGTTTCAGCTGTTTTTACACGTTAGATTGTAACTTGATGTGAGTTACATTTGTGTTTCTGATCCAGACTCAATGATATTCACAGGCCAACATCAAGGAAGCAGTAAATTCATTGGCAGAGCAATCTTGTAGGCACAATTTACAGTGTATTCATAGACAAACTGAGAGTGAATTTCTTTAAGACACATTTTTCTTTTTGTTTGGAGTGAATGAAAGTGATTAAACCAATCATATCATTGATACCTCGCAGAATACTGACGTGTCATGTATTACCTCAGCTCTCAATTCTTTGTTCTCGAAGGATTGATAAAAAAATCACTTTCTCGGTATTCCCACAATAGAACTGGTTCTTAGGATTGTCTCTATATTTGATCATGTGATCAGACTCACTGACTTACAGCACATCATTACACCCTAACTGTGAATCAGAGCGTAGATCAATATCTGACACATGTTCATCATGTTAGGCTAATCGAAACTCAGTTGTTGTTATTTAGCTGGACTGGACAATAATGATCAATAAACAACAAACAGACAATATCTCTCTATTTCCATGTGGACAGGCATGCTGGCTGAGTTAGACTCTGACACTGTGTCACAGCTTCTAGCGTCGCCAGAGATGTTGAGACAGGCGATGTCCCGAGCCAAGGATTCCTATCTCAAGTGTTACCATGTCTCCCAGGAATCCAGTGTTCCACACACTGAGAAAAACAACAACCACACTGCAGAAGCTGATCTCGGGACAGGAAGTTTATGACAAAGTTAGAGAAATGTTCCCTGATCATGCATCTCACATCACAGGTAAACAAAACTGGCCCTTTTTACATTTTGTGGACAACAGATTCTTTTCTTGGTTCTTGGTTGCAACAAGTCATTTTTGATAAATGGGAATAATTTACAAATGGGAAGCCACTTGAGAATGTTTGTCTCAATATGGTATGGCAGGGTTTTGCTTTTGCAAACCTTACAATTGATCATTTGATTTTATTTGATTAGTTGGTCTAGGACTGTGATCGGCCATCTCGACATTCAGGTTGTATAACTGGCTCATCACCAAATCCTGAGTACCAAGTCAACTGTATTGTTATGCATTATTCACTGTCTGTCTCATATTGTGTTTGGGGCAGTGGGGTAGCCTAATGGTTAAAGCGCTATTCGCCGCCCGAGACCGGTTTGAATCCCCACATGGGTACATTGTGTGAAGCCCATTTCTGGTGTCCTTGCCGCCACGGATGTTGCTGGAATATTGCTAAAAGCAGCGTAAAACCAAACTCAGTCAGTCAGTCATATTGTGTTTCAGTTGACATGGTAGAGAATATTGGCACAATGTGTGAAGCCAATTTATGGTGTCCCTTGCCATGATACTTATAGAATATTGCTAAAAGTGTCATAAAATCAGGCTTACTCAATCACTCTGTATTTTGTTTTTTCTGGTTGCACATAAATAGCTTTGCTCACACTGTTGTAGCCCAACCATATGATTGTTAATGAAATGGTAAAGCCAATCAAGGAGGCTGAACAACGGTCTGTCTGATACAGCAACAGAGCTGGTGACAGCAGTAGCAACTTATTCTGTTATGATGTCAGAGTGTAATGGAAGTCTTTCTGACTGATGGGACGTTGACTGTTGTTGCAGGGATGCTGTTGGAGATGAGGACGTCACAGTTGCAGCATCTTCTCTCTGATGACCCAGACCGACTGAATCTGTACATCCACTGGGCCTACCAAACCCTACAGCAGTACCATGCCCAGTCCTGAGGACAACACAAGCACAGATAGTCTCTTTATGTCACATATACATCATGCTTTCATACCTTGTAAGACATGAATTGAATCTAGCACCCTTTCCTATTCGAGGTACTAACTATTAGTGACTCAGACTAACATTGAAAGATGGAACGGCAACCACTTGTTTGTACAAACTTCAAAACACCTGGCCAAAATGGGGTTTGGTCATGACATGTTTCATTATATTAAGCTGTGATCTTGGAATCAGTGTGTAGGGTAGGCAGCCTGGAGGCTGCAGCATATGCTGCATGACAAGTACTGCTGTGTGTGTGTGTGTGTTGTAATCTGAACACTTATTGTCAGGATCCACCTGCATATGGCGGTCATCTCAGCACTACTATCACAAGTTGATGTTAAATATCATCATAGTGCTAAGAACCTAGATTGCCACCTGATTTCCTCAATCTGGAACCAGAATGTCAACTTGTTTCATTGAGGAAATGGGGCGGTGGGGTAGCCTAGTGGTTAAAGCGTTCGCTGGTCACACCAAAGACCCAGGTTCAATTCCCCACATGGGTACAATGTGTGACGCCCATTTCTGGTGTCACCAGGAACACCAGAGACCTATCATGCCGAGTTTAAATCCTAGTTTGCCAGGACTGTAGTTCTTGGTTTGTCTGCACCAACTAGTAAATGTCTAATATCTACATCTGATTAGGCTTACACCCACAAGTTGTCATGTCACAGAAATAGTTTCAAAGCAACGTTAAAACAGGTTCATATGCAAATGCTGTATTACCTTATCAATTGCTTCCGTTAGTCATTATGATTCATGACCCTTGAATTTTGGAAACCAAAATGTCTTTTGCCGTCATCATTGAGCTTCCATCAACACCAAAGATCATTTATCATTGGTTAGTTGGTTTGTTGTTAACTCCCCACTCAGCAATATTTCACCTATTTAGCAGCGGTCTGTAAATAATCCAGTCTGGACCAGACAATCCAGTGATCAATATTATGAGCATCATTTTACGCAACTGGGATACAATGACGTGTGAACCAAGTCAGTGAGTCTGACCATCCAATCCCATTAGTCACCTCTTACAACAAGCATGGGTTGCTGAAGACCAATTCTAACCCAGATCTTCACTTGTTCATTCATCATTGGATGTTTAAATGCAGGTATAATTCAAGGTTTTGAATATCCATTATTTGATGTTTTAGTTGTAAAAGCTACAGATTTCATTAAAGTCTGGGGCGGTGGGGTAGCCTAGTGGTTAAAGCGGTCGCTCGTCACGCCGTAGCCCCGGGTTCGATTCCCCACATGAGTACAACGTGTGAAGCCCATTTCTGGTTTCCCCAGCCGTGATGTTGCTGGAATATTGCTAAATGCGGCCTAAAACCAAACTCCCTCACTCATTAAAGTCTTAACTTTTACTCTGACTTAAAAACTCTCTTTATAGACACAATTCAGAAGTGGTTCCATGCATAGAAGAAATATTTTCATATTAGACATTGTTTATGATCAGACAAGAACCTGTTTAAAGGTCAGTCACTTAGTGTGTTTTCGTTGCGTAATAGTCGAGACAGTTTTCCCTGCCAAACATTTCCAGCCAAAATGCTATATCTTAAATTATGTGCAAAATATTCCCTGCATTTTCAGAAAACAGTTGTGGTATTGCTGCCAAATGTCAGATATTAGTGAGTTGGAATGAAATCACAATGTTGTTTTAGCTACGCATTGATGCAGATGACAATGCTGGGCCTATGGTCACATAATCACTGTAATGAATTCCAGCTTTTACATAGGTCTTTCCACATATATGAGGGCTTGTGATATTATATTAACAACTATTTGTATTTAGTGTTTTGTTTTCTTGTTTGTTGTATGTACCGTTTGTCGTGTCCGGTGTCAGTGTTGGTGTCTACTCCTACTGCTGTGTTGAGGTTTTGTGGTATTCCGCCCGTAACTGGTCAAAACTCCATGAATTCACTAGGTGGCCAAAATGTTTGATTTATTTTTAGTATTTAGTGCATTTATTGTACCGAGAGCCAGAATTTGTTTTTTCTTGTTTATGTTTAGTGTTTAAGTCCAGTTGGTAAATTGTCAGCATGGTAAGGGGAGAACACTAGATGTTTCTATTTTAATATTTGTTTTTCTATTTTTGTGTTTGTGGGGGTTGATGGATCAATAAGAGTCAATTCCAAAAGGCCTTGCTTGCCATGTGTCCGAAGTGACTGGTCAACTCACTGGATCATGTAATCTTCATCTATCTACATGGTGTAACAAGACTTATAAGTGGTCTATGTACATTCATTTCTTGTAACCATTCCATGGAAACCATTTTGATCCTGAAAGAAAAGTTGTTGCCAAAAGCGTTGTTATAACAATTCCGGGGTTGTTTTTTTTGTCTTCATCGCCAGTCAGGAAATCCTTAAATCTAAATATCAGAATGTGCATGTGATATTGTATTGCATTTTCTGAAGTGTAGTGATTTGTTTTAGTGATAGTGGAATTGGTGACCTCTTGACATAAACCAATGTATCGTTTGTTACCAAATATGTTTTAACTAGATTGTTGGATGGTTTGCATGTTGTTAGTGTTTCACATCCATCATCTTGATGTGTGCACAACGGCAATGGTGTACGGTCTTAGAATCATTTACAGATATATTTTTCTGAAACATTATTGTTTTATTACCTTTTTACTTAAGCGTAGCAATGTTGTGGTGCATATATGAAACGAAACACAAGATTACTGATACTCCATTTAATTCCATTCAGTACTCTAAATGTACTCTTATGGTTTTCCAGTACTCCTGTATTGAAAAATCATGGAGTACGTACTCCTGATGTTGAAAACTTATCTGGAGCCCTGTTGAATGTTTCATAGATAAACTGAAAAAATATGTTTGGTGTCTTAGCCAATTAAAATGTCAGTGGAAGATGCCAACCAATCAAAGCCAATCATTTAGAAATGGTTGAATATAGCATCTCATATTTCATGTGTATTTATTCTGTTCAGAGTTTATTCCCATGTTTCAATATTAAGTTTGCTTGTTTTACTGGATAAAATTATTTTCCCAGAAGTAGCGAGTATGTATTATCTGCAAGGCAATATTTACACTGGGAATATCATTTTGTATCTTCAGTGAAATATTTCATGTTTAATATTCCTGTCCTAAACTATATTTTGACTGTGCATTTTACAAAAGTGATAATTTATCTCTAAAACTATAGCCAAAATGGTGTGTGTGTATTATCTGCCAACATTGCTCTGTCCGCCAACAGTTTATTGTGTGCATTGTAACCAACAGGATGTGAACTGATGGCTGAGAGAGTAGATGCACCTACACTGCAAGTGTTTATTATTTGTTCTAAGAGGTAGAGGAACTTATTTACATTGTGTGACCAACTGAGGACGGTCTGTAGGTTTCAGTGATGACACAAAGAAGTGCTAACGTGTATGGTGTTCATAAACCTATTCAAGTATGCTTTATGCATGTAGCTTGTATGATAATCACTTTGCATTCCAGATAAAGTTTACAAAGAATATGTTGACTTTTGTGTTATATTTTGTCCTGTTTGATATTTATCACCATGGACATTCTGGGGGAAGGGGGGGCTCAGTACTTGTCTGATTGGGATAAATGTGGCATGATTACAATGTGACATGACTGTTCAACATGTGTTGTTTTATACTTGTCAGAGGGGTGTACAAATTACGTGATCTAGACTACTATATAGTTGAGTGTTCAAGTCCGTCGGCTGAGTGGGTTAGATCACTAACTTCGTATGCTGGTGATTAGTTGCCTAACCCTGAGAGGGTGGATTTGAATCACAAATGGGATCAGACTTGATCATTGGCATTGGCTGTTCAAGGTCTTGTATAACCTGCCTTGCAATTATCTTCTGGCCAAGTACTGATGGGAGACTATCACAAACCACAGAATTTCTGTCAGCTTCTAACACTTAATGGATTCAAAGCTAACAGTGATGGACATTCATGAAAACACTGAGGATGGTGGGGCAGCCTCGTGGTTAAAGCGTTCACTCGTCACGCTGAAGACCCGGGTTCCATTCCCCACATGGGTACAATGTGTGAAGCCCATTTCTGGTGTCCCTCCGCCGTGGTATTGCGGGAATAGTGCTAAAAGCGGCGTAAAACACAACTCACTCACGATGAATTCACTGACACCTAGCACCTATTACTAATGGCTGGTGGCACAGTTTTCAATCATACACTCTGATCCTTCTTTTGGCATTGGCTTGACATCAAGGTGATTATGGTTGTTCAAACAACAAAAAGATAACTGTGTCAATATTTATTTGTACATCCACATTTACACACCTAGATTATGTACAGTGTCATTCATACAGACGATTCACAGACTTTCAAAGTCCTCACATCATCAAACAAGGCTTATCCGAACAGCTCTGTTATCAATCACAATAAAACCTTCCCCCAACACAGAAATCATCTTCTTGCTATAAAATGTGCAGCCATGAACTGAGCTGAAGGTAAAACTGTCAATAGTACAGTTACATATTTAACAGTGGATTAAGTGATTTAATTGTGAAATCACTTCCCATTGTGTATCACAGAAACACTGAAAAAACACTGCAGCAACATCTGGCAAGTACAGGACATCACCACCTCATGTCACAGAACATCATTACTGGATGCCACTGCATGTAACAAACAGTAGAAATATGAGAACATGCATGTACATATCCATTTGTTGATACACAAACACCCACAAAGAAACAATGATTACTTGCTGGTATACCGTATAAGACATAAGTTTGAGGACCAAGAAAAGTAGAAGGGGGTTGACTTACCTACAGGTTACTCTTTCATCAAAGTTCTTTTCAGGTGGTAAGAAAACGACATTGTATTGCTTTGTGTGAACAAACAAGTTAGAACCTCAGCATATCTATGAGATTGTCTTATCTACAGTAATATATGGTAAAGGCAGTATGTCTATCAAAATGTAAAAATGATTTTAGCAAGTTAAATACATGTTGGCTCAAAAATAATTAACATGTTTTTCTTGCCTTTATCATGTCACTTTATATCCTGATTGTCAGAGATATTTACTTTTTCTTTTCTGGACCTCTCTGCTACATGAAGCAGACTTGACAAAAACATTTGATCAAAGATCGGAGTTCATCGGGTGCCTAGTTGTATGTTGGCACTCCTGGCGGGGAAATTCATAAAAAGTATTCCACTCTCATTCTTATTTTCAATACATAACATCTAATGAAGCACACAACATGGACAAGAACTTCTTGTTTATTGCACATTGCGAAGTTTGAGCTTGAAAATGGTTTAAGAATGTACACCAAACATTGCTCTGTGCAATATAATACACAAGAAGATGTTATCAATAAAATTGTTTGCTTTATTATTGACTCACCGACTTCTAGAATGCCGAACAAACAATAAATCACATGTATATAGTCCTACAGCTGTCCTCACTTATAGTTCATGTATGTGATGGCTGCATCCTTTGTGACGCATGGGAAACATTGGTCTGCCAACTGATGTATAACGGAAAGTACTCTCCGTGTTCTCAGCTATTATTATTCTTTCAATGTCATATTATACTGTTCAGCTTATGAAACCTTTCATGCATAGTTCTATGGAGACAAAGCAAAATTAATCATGTAGGAGTGATATATTTTGCCTATTTTAAGCAAAAGTGCAGCCTGTTGGGAGCTCTGAAGAACAGGCCATATAGATTCTATTTCAAACCAAATATGTGACAGAACCTTTAAAATGTAATGCTGAAATTTAACCATGTCACAAACGGTAATATTTTCTTGTCAAATCGATCATACAGTTTCGATCTTGTAGCACCTTCGTCCTGCTTGATGTGTCATGGTGATCCACGGAGACTACAGCAGTGGACGCACCATAACCTTGTAGAAGCTCCATTAAACTCAGCAGTGGCCTGGACCCTGTCCTCAGCTGTCCCCGTCCTCAGCTGACCCCGTCCTCAGCTGTCCCCATACATCATGTAGGCCACGCCAACCACAGCTGCCACCACCCCACTGACAGCCATGCCTGCGGTGGAGGTGAAAATAGTGCACTGTAAGACTCAAGGAGTGTTATAACGGGACACTTATTGTAGTCTGAATAAGATAGAATACACAGTTGCTTCATTATAGGGTGATCCTGTTTCATTGTATCAGCTTCATTGTGGATTATATTGTGTTATGATGGGAATTTGACCGCCTCCGTGGTGTAGTGGTTAGAGCGTCCGCCCGGAGAGCGGAAGGTCGTGGGTTCGATCCCCGACCGCATCATACCAAAAGACGTTAAAATATGGTACTTGTTGGTCCCTGCCTGGCGCTCGGCACTAATGGGTACAACAAGGACTGGTCGGCCCGGAGTCAGTATAATGTGTCTGAGTGGGGTATTCATGCTTCACTGCGGCATGGTATCTCAGTGGGCTAGCACTATAAAACCAGCTTAAGTCTGGGCTAGTACAAGCAGCTGCACATACACATACACACGCATACACGTCGTCATATGAGCGAAATATTCTCAAGCACTACGTTAAACCCAAATTCACCTCACCTCACCTCACCTCATTGTGGATTATATTGTGTTATGATGGGAATTATCTCACAGCTTTTGTTGGCTCCCAGTGTCTCATAAGACACTGTAGGGCAGCCGAGTTGATACAGTGTTGCCCTCCTTGCTGCTCACCTGGGTTCAATTCCAGACAAGTGGCCACGGTATGAAACCCTACTTTGGGGATTCTGGGCAAGGACATACCTGTTCATGATAATCAATATGTGTATCGTCTGATTGTTTACCGATTACTGTTATATAGCTGGAACACAGCTGAGTGTTGCTATACATGGTGTAGCAGGGTAACATACGCAGACCCAGAGAGGTGTGCGCGTGCGTGGGTGGGGGGCAGGGGAGTTTGCAGGGATGCGCACCCTGTCTTTTGTCCTGTCCACTAACCATTGAAACTCAGGTGAAAATAAGTGTGCAAACCCCCCCAACCCCCCCACACACACACCCCTTTTCTCAATAGTGTGCACCCCCTCTTTCTCAAAAGCTGCATCCGCCCCTGTGTAATATTGTAAAAGGCAGCATGAAACCAAATTTAGCCAGGAAGACAACCCAGTGGGAGGTATGGTCCTACCTAGATAAGCTCCGAGACCACTCCCGTCTCCAGCAGAACCTCCCGAGTGTTCCGTGCCATCCTCTGACTCAACACCTGAGGACCAGTCCCCCTCCTCTGCAACAGGACAAACACGCTCACAGAACCTGGGGGAAAACTACCTTTAAAACATCATCACATTCTGTTTCCCCTATCAGATTACATAATGGAATAGCAGGAACAGTTTTGAAACTGAGGAACAGTTTTGTGCTGATATAAACATGTCCAAGCAGATATAAAAGGGAGACATTTTATTGTGGAGTAAGGACGGCCATGAAGGATGAAGGAAAGACCTTGTCCCTGACAGCATCTCTCCCACATGACTTCCAAGTTGAGTCTACCACCTAGAAGGCCAAGGTCATTATACCTGCATGTCTCTCACACTGAAGTTCAAGGTCATCCTCTGTGACATCGATGTCTAGCAACTCCTTCAGCCTCTCTGTCACCTCTTGCGTCTTTTCATCTTGGAACATGTAGTCGCAGAATGCCAGCGATGACTTGGGAACGGTGGTGAAGACACGGACTGGTGTATCATACAACTCCCTTGCTGGAACAGGGATCGAACAGATTCATATTGTTAGTGAGTCAACATATACTGTATACTGGGTTCAAGAGGTTTCCTTCTCTGACTTGCGTCACTTGCATCTCATATCAAGAATATTTTGTTTAGATTTGGGTTTGGCTTTGTTTGGATTTCACCGGATATTGGAGATATTGATGGTTTCATTTCTGTTTTTAAGCAAAGATTATCTGATAATCTTTCACAAGATTGGTACTCATCCCTACATAGTACAACCAAGTGTTCTAATTATATACTTTTCAAGTCCCTCCTGAATGTTGAAACTTATCTCAGTTTAGGTATTGCCCCATATGTAAGAAATTGTTTAACAAAATTTAGATGCGGTAAATTTAAACTTAGTTCTGAGACCGGTAGATATAACAAATGTCCCTTATTATTAAAGATTCTGTCCTTTTTGCTACAAAAATATCTTAATTTAATTGAAGATGAAATACATGTTTTACTTTATTGTAAAGCCTACTTAGATATAAGGAATAAGTTTCTGGGTAAATATTTCAAACATCCAATTTCACAACCCAGTTTTATAAACATAATGACTTCAACAAACATAAATGTTATAAATAATTTGAGCCTATTTTTATATAATGTTGGGAAAATAAGAGATTCTGATGTTTTTATGTAAAACCAGGGATAATCTACAACGTTATATAGTCTCCCTGGTAAAACGCATGTAACTTCTTATCAAATTTATGAATGTATTTTGGGCCAGTGGCCTATTACTGAATAAAATGTCTGTCTGTCTGTTTGACTTGCGTCACTTACTCATGGCTTCCAGCCCACACGACACTGGCTTCAGAAAGAGGTTCAAAGTGGTGCTCTACCCAACTCACTTGTATACTACGTGTAGCAACACCGGGTTTACAAAGGTATTATAACTAGGAAATCACAAAGCTAAAGCCGTGCAGGTCAAATACCTCCGTGCTCTTCCACGACCTCGAGGTCTTCACACAGGAGCTCACACCGAGATACCAGACTCCGTACAACATCGGACCGCACTGCCTGTGGGTTACAACACAAAGGATATGCCTAATTCAATCATCAACAATGATCACTTGTGACAATTACCGTAACCACTCCCGAAACAAAATCTGATTGCATGACAACAACACGAAACAAACCTAAAACACAAACCTGATGGCAACAACCTCTCGTGTTCACACCATAGTACTGCTCTAGTCAACAATGCAAGTATCATGCCCCTCTAAAATTCAATAGACTTGGGAACGGTAAGTAATCTATCAACTAATTCTTGTATTGTCATCATAGTTACCATATATCAAAAATAAGTGCTCTGGCTACTTAGAAAGTCAACAACAGGTGGTCCTTATTAAAAGCAATCACAAGTTAAATTTGTTGTCAGAGGTAGGAAGGCTGACTGACTGAGTTTGGTTTAACGCCGCTTTTAGCAATATTCCAGCAACATCACGGCGGGGGAAACCAGAAATGGGCTTCACACATTGGGCCCATGTGGGGATTCGAACCCGGATCTTCGGCATGACGAGCCAACTCTTTAACCATTAGGCTACCCCACCGCCCCAGAGGTAGGAAGTGATTGTTGGACCAAGTCTGTACTGTACTGATGCTTATACTGAATTGTTACAGTCTGTATCCTGACATTGGTGGTTTCTATGTTGCAAGAGTTACCGTCAGCATCTGTGTGAGTTATGGACACAAAATATACCTGCAAGTTTGAAGTTGAACATCAAAACATCATCTGTAAAACAAACTTACCTCAATAGCATCCCTCACAGTTGCACGATTGTTAACCAATGACCTTCCAATCATCTGACCTCTGACCTTGAGGATGGCCTTGACTGAGAGTGCGGTGGGGTCAGGTACATTGTTGTTATCGGACTGCAACCCACATAACACATAACACAGATGTGTGTCATGGACAGAGATAACACAGTCTTATTTACAGCACTTTAACTGAGGACATTTATTAACCCACTCTGTGCATTCCCAGAGACTCTCTTAACAAATTATCGTGCATATCTCGGGTAAAACAGTCACTTACCCCCGATGGTTGACTGGGTGTTCATGGGTACAGGCATGTTCATCTGATTTACACATATTTGTTGGTTTTCCTCACAGTATCACCATAAGCAATGTCTAGACTTCAACAATTTAGGATGTAGAAATCTCCACTACTCAAACTACAAGACGTCATGAGCACTTATTGAGATATGATAACAGGCAAACCAAAGGCAAATCAAATCCATTTCATCCTTCTCGCCAGCACTGGTTGCTAGGACCAACAGAACCCAGAATTCCACAGCATTTACATGCACATAATACTGACTGAATATACTAAATACTACAGTGGATAAAACCCTGTCAATAAAAATATGGACTACTCTATATTACATAAAAGAGGAACGACAGGCCAGCTGGCATACTTCAAGAATTGTTGACTTGCTAGTTTCAGGTTCGCATTCCGTTCACCATGAGGATAGAAACAATACCTGCTTGAATGCATCACAAATCCCTCCCCAACCCCCCATTTTTTTGGGTTTAATATAAGTGACCATTGTATAGAGAATTAAAACCTGCTAGACATGATTTACCATGTTGTCGAGAAGATCCACAGCAAACTGTTGTCTCCCTGGGTTTGCCTTGTCCTTTGACTTCCCTTTCCTTGGTTCTGATTGGTCAAGTACTTCATCATCGTTTCGAAGCTCACCATTCAACAGCGCCATACCATTGTATATGGATTTACAGAAGGGTTGAATTCCTTGCTGTGAAAGAAGTTAATATTTCATACTGATGGAAATAAGTAACTGAACATATATATATAAGGGTGCCAGCATTTCACAGTGTGTTGAAGTTATATGTAAATTCTGAAACATTTCAGTCATATTGTGACTTAAACAGCTTATAAAATAAGGGAATACCTTTAAAGGGGAGTTTATAACTTACAATATATCACAGACTGAGAACATTAAAGAATTTTACCATTACACAATGATAAATTATAACATTTGGAATACCCATATTTCTAAACATACAGGTATGAAATCTATTATGTTGTGCCCAAATTGTCTGCCACAGACACTTAGGTTGAAAACACTCAATAAACTCCGTCACCAGGGAACACTTTTTTATCTCTGACTATAAAACATATATCAAGCATCAGAAAAATCGACAACAAAAGTATTCCTGTAACCATGGTAACTCCCAGCAATCTGACCTGAATCTGTTTATGCATGGTGGTGGTGCGGGCGTCGTTTGGGACGGTGATAGCGACGTCGACTGACACCATGGTGGACAGCTGTGACCAGCGGTCAAGAAGACCACTCACGTACCGCCATTCTGCTGGACGAGCAGTACTCTGGGACAGACAGGAGTTGCAATTTGGTGAGCGAGCATGTTTGGGTTACTGACGCTTTGAATAACATAATTGCCACATTGCATTGATGTGGGAGCAATGACCAAAGGTCTTGACTCATATGGAGAAAGCCATACGCATGTGTATGGTGTGGACAAACCTAAGAAGATAATCAGAGTGAATTCAAATTCAAATTTTCGCTCACAGATGGCCTGCTTATTAAGGTGAGGCAACTCGGGACTTCTCTAAGAGCAACATATAAGATACCTGTCAGAGAGTGAGTGAGTTTTATGCCGCTTTTAGCATTATTCCAGCAATATCAGGGCAGGGAACACCAGAAATGGGCTTCATACGTTGTACCCATGTGGGGAATCGAACCAGCGTTACAAGCGAATACTTTAACCACTAGGCTACAAAACCGCCCTGTCAACATGATTAAGCCTAGTGAGTGTCCACTCCAATGGCTTCCTTTTAAAATATGGGCACTCAGTTGTAACAACTCTACGACAAACATAAGCAACAGCATTAAGCAAGCCCACTTAGGATGTCCCCTTTGGGAAGCAATAAAAGCCTGTATTTTGAGCAGCAATAGAAAATGAATGCTTGGAGAATTCATCACAAATGTTCTCAGAATCTGGAACAAATTGTTCAGTCATGTCAATGTTGTCTAAATCTGGGGAAATGTACACAATGACTGAACTGCCTAAAGAAGAAGCCATGTCTTACCTTCATGTCTGCCACATCAAACGTCCTGCATGTCAGTCTGGCAGAAAATAAGGAAAATCGCCACCATGACATCTTAGTTGACAAGTGAAGTTTCAACAGTGTTCCTCCTGAATTTTTGTAACAAACTACATGGCCTTTTTTCGGTGTTTTCAAGGCATCCACCTCTAACTTTAAGCCAAATTTTTAAATAAAATCTGCTTTCCACACTGCGTCATGAAACATGATGTAATTTCAGCTCAACACTGGTACACAAGCACCACAAATTATAACCTGGAAAGGGCTGCATCGAGAGTTGTGTCCCCTGAGTGATGAGAAACCTCTCACAGGTACACGTGTACTCAGACCACCTGGCAGCTTATACACCTTCAGAAGTTTCTTAACAGCAGCCAAGTCTGATTCCATGTAATGTCCTACAGATGAAGAAATACTTCTGAATTTAAGAAAGTTAGGAGTGGAAGCAATCCAAATTCTTTGATAAAAATAATTACACTTTTCCCAAATGTCTTGATGTACATCTAGTCACAACCCAATATAAATCTCATTTGTTGGCAGGTGTAAAGGATACTTTCTGGCCACTGAACAGATCTGTAGCACCATGCGGTCAGTGATGGCATTTTCTCGGTCACAGAGGGTCAGTTTACTGAGGGCCTTGTGGACAGCAAATACAACCTGAAACAGAGGGTGAGGTGAAGTGAGGTGAAATTGGGTTTAACGTCGTGCTGGAGTATATTTCGCTCATATGATGACGTGTATGCGTGTATATGTGTATGTGCGGCTGCTTGTACTAGCCCAGACTTAAGCTGGTTTTATAGTGCTAGCTCACTGAGATACCATGCCGCAGTGAAGCATGAATACCCCACTCAGACACATTATACTGACTCCGAGCCGACCAGTCCTTGTTGTACCCATCAATGCCGAGCGCCAGGCAGGGACCAACAAGTACCATATTTTAACGTCTTTTGGAATGACGCGGTCGGGGATCGAACCCGCGACCTTCCGCTCTCTGGACGGACGCTCTAACCACTACACCACGGAGGCGGTCTGAAACAGAGGGACACTTTGTGGCTGTTGTTATGTAGATATAGCCATGTTTGTCCTCCCTGAAGTGATAGGAAGACCGGCTGTGAGATGCCACAGTTGCTTACCAGTAGAAACAATTTGCTGTGTCTGGGCCTAGATTTTCGAAGCTCTCTCAGCGCTAAGATAGTCGTGATTTAATGTTACAGTATGGCACTTAGCGCTAAGAGAGCTTAGAAAATCTAGGCCCTGGGACTTAAACACCAGTAGATCCTGGCTCAGGTGCAAAGAAATTTATGTGTGGGAGGAAAGATCTACCTGCAGGAGGAGAGACTGATCTGTGGGGGGGGAGACAATCCTGTGAGAAAAGAGATCTGCCTGTGGGGGAAGAGACTGATCTGTGGGAGGGGAGACAAGCCTGTGAGAAAAGAGATCTGCCTGTGGGGGAGAGACTGATCTGTGGGAGGGAGACAAGCCTGTGAGAAAAGAGATCTGCCTGTGGGGGAGAGACTGATCTGTGGGAGGGGAGACAAGCCTGTGAGAAAAGAGATCTGCCTGTGGGGGGAGAGACTGATCTGTGGGAGGGGAGACAAGCCTGTGAGAAAAGAGATCTGCCTGTGGGGGGAGAGACTGATCTGTGGGAGGGGAGACAAGCCTGTGAGAAAAGAGAGATCTGCCTGTGGGGGAGAGACTGATCTGTGGGAGGGGAGACAAGCCTGTGAGAAAAAGAGATCTGCCTGTGGGGGAGAGACTGATCTGTGGGAGGGGGAGACAAGCCTGTGAGAAAAGAGATCTGCCTGTGGGGGAGAGACTGATCTGTGGGAGGGAGACAAGCCTGTGAGAAAAGAGATCTGCCTGTGAGAAAAGAGATCTGCCTGTGGGGAGAGAGACTGATCTGTGGGAGGGAGACAAGCCTGTGAGAAAAGAGATCTGCCTGTGAGGGAGAGACTGATCTGTGGGAGGGGAGACAAGCCTGTGAGAAAAGAGATCTGCCTGTGAGAAAAGAGATCTGCCTGTGGGGGAGAGAGACTGATCTGTGGGAGGGGGGAGACTAGCCTGTGAGAAAAGAGATCTGCCTGTGGGGGAGAGACTGATCTGTGGGAGGGGAGACAAGCCTGTGAGAAAAAGAGATCTGCCTGTGGGGGAGAGACTGATCTGTGGGAGGGGAGACAAGCCTGTGAGAAAAAGAGATCTGCCTGTGGGGGGAGAGACTGATCTGTGGGAGGGGAGACAAGCCTGTGAGAAAAAGAGATCTGCCTGTGGGGGAGAGACTGATCTGTGGGAGGGGAGACAAGCCTGTGAGAAAAGAGATCTGCCTGTGGGGGGAGAGACTGATCTGTGGGAGGGAGACAAGCCTGTGAGAAAAAAGAGATCTGCCTGTGGGGGAGAGACTGATCTGTGGGAGGGGAGACAAGCCTGTGAGAAAAGAGATCTGCCTGTGGGGGGCAGAGACTGATCTGTGGGAGGGGAGACAAGCCTGTGAGAAAAAGAGATCTGCCTGTGGGGGAGAGACTGATCTGTGGGAGGGAGACAAGCCTGTGAGAAAAGAGATCTGCCTGTGGGGGAGAGACTGATCTGTGGGAGGGAGACAAGCCTGTGAGAAAAGAGATCTGCCTGTGGGGGAGAGACTGATCTGTGGGAGGGAGACAAGCCTGTGAGAAAAGAGAGATCTGCCTGTGAGAAAAGAGATCTGCCTGTGGGGGGAGAGACTGATCTGTGGGAGGGAGACAAGCCTGTGAGAAAAGAGATCTGCCTGTGAGGGAGAGACTGATCTGTGGGAGGGGAGACAAGCCTGTGAGAAAAGAGATCTGCCTGTGAGAAAAGAGATCTGCCTGTGGGGGAGAGACTGATCTGTGGGAGGGGAGACTAGCCTGTGAGAAAAGAGATCTGCCTGTGTGGGGGGAGAGACTGATCTGTGGGAGGGGAGACAAGCCTGTGAGAAAAGAGATCTGCCTGTGGGGGAGAGACTGATCTGTGGGAGGGAGACAAGCCTGTGAGAAAAGAGATCTGCCTGTGGGGGGAGAGACTGATCTGTGGGAGGGGAGACAAGCCTGTGAGAAAAGAGATCTGCCTGTGAGGGAGAGACTGATCTGTGGGAGGGGAGACAAGCCTGTGAGAAAAGAGATCTGCCTGTGAGAAAAGAGATCTGCCTGTGGGGGGCAGAGACTGATCTGTGGGAGGGGAGACAAGCCTGTGAGAAAAGAGATCTGCCTGTGGGGGGAGAGAGACTGATCTGTGGGAGGGGAGACAAGCCTGTGAGAAAAGAGATCTGCCTGTGGGGGAGAGACTGATCTGTGGGAGGGGAGACAAGCCTGTGAGAAAAAGAGATCTGCCTGTGGTGGGAGAGACTGATCTGTGGGAGGGGAGACAAGCCTGTGAGAAAAGAGAGATCTGCCTGTGAGAAAAGAGATCTCCCTGTGGGGGGGAGACTGATCTGTGGGAGGGGAGACAAGCCTGTGAGAAAAGAGATCTGCCTGTGAGGGGGAGAGACTGATCTGTGGGAGGGGAGACAAGCCTGTGAGAAAAGAGATCTGCCTGTGAGAAAAGAGATCTGCCTGTGGGGAGAGACTGATCTGTGGGAGGGGAGACTAGCCTGTGAGAAAAGAGATCTGCCTGTGGGGGAGAGACTGATCTGTGGGAGGGGAGACAAGCCTGTGAGAAAAGAGATCTGCCTGTGGGGAGAGACTGATCTGTGGGAGGGAGACAAGCCTGTGAGAAAAGAGATCTGCCTGTGGGTGGAGAGACTGATCTGTGGGAGGGAGACAAGCCTGTGAGAAAAGAGATCTGCCTGTAGGGGAGAGACTGATCTGTGGGAGGGAGACAAGCCTGTGAGAAAAGAGATCTGCCTGTGGGGGAGAGACTGATCTGTGGGAGGGGAGACAAGCCTGTGAGAAAAGAGATCTGCCTGTGGGGGGAGAGACTGATCTGTGGGAGGGGAGACAAGCCTGTGAGAAAAGAGATCTGCCTGTGGGGGGAGAGACTGATCTGTGGGAGGGGAGACAAGCCTGTGAGAAAAGAGATCTGCCTGTGAGAAAAGAGATCTGCCTGTGGGGGGAGAGACTGATCTGTGGGAGGGGAGACAAGCCTGTGAGAAAAGAGATCTGCCTGTGAGGGGAGAGACTGATCTGTGGGAGGGGAGACAAGCCTGTGAGAAAAGAGATCTGCCTGTGAGAAAAGAGATCTGCCTGTGGGGGGAGAGACTGATCTGTGGGAGGGGAGACTAGCCTGTGAGAAAAAGAGATCTGCCTGTGGGGGAGAGACTGATCTGTGGGAGGGGAGACAAGCCTGTGAGAAAAGAGATCTGCCTGTGGGGGGAGAGACTGATCTGTGGGAGGGGAGACAAGCCTGTGAGAAAAGAGATCTGCCTGTGGGGGGAGAGACTGATCTGTGGGAGGGGAGACAAGCCTGTGAGAAAAGAGATCTGCCTGTGAGGGGAGAGACTGATCTGTGGGAGGGGAGACAAGCCTGTGAGAGAAAAGACATCTGCCTGTGAGAAAAGAGATCTGCCTGTGGGGGCAGAGACTGATCTGTGGGAGGGGAGACAAGCCTGTGAGAAAAGAGATCTGCCTGTGGGGGAGAGAGACTGATCTGTGGGAGGGAGACAAGCCTGTGAGAAAAGAGATCTGCCTGTGGGGAGAGACTGATCTGTGGGAGGGAGACAAGCCTGTGAGAAAAGAGATCTGCCTGTGGGGGAGAGACTGATCTGTGGGAGGGGAGACAAGCCTGTGAGAAAAGAGATCTGCCTGTGAGGGGAGAGACTGATCTGTGGGAGGGGAGACAAGCCTGTGAGAAAAGAGATCTGCCTGTGAGAAAAGAGATCTGCCTGTGGGGGGAGAGACTGATCTGTGGGAGGGGAGAAAAGCCTGTGAGAAAAGAGACTGATCTGTGGGAGGGGAGACAAGCCTGTGAGAAAAGAGATCTGCATGTGGGAGTAAAGTTCTACCTGTGGGGGGAGAGATCTAACTGTGGGGGAGAGATCTAACTGTGGGTGGAGAGATCTACCTGTGGCCGAGAGACCTATCTTTCGGAGGAGGGATCTACATGTGGAGGAGACATCTATTGGTGGAAAGATCTACCTGTGGGGGAGAGAGCTACCTGTGGAGGAGGGATCTACATGTGGAGGAGACATCTATTGGTGGAGAGATCTACCTGTGGGCGAGAGAGCTATCTGTCAGGGGAGGGATCTACATGTGGAGGAGACATCTATGGGTGGAGAGATCTACCTCTGGGGGAGAGATCTACATGTGGAGGAGGGATCTACATGTGGAGGAGACATCTATGGGTGGAGAGATCTACCTGTGGGGGAGACATCTATGGGTGGAGAGATCTACATGTGGAGGAGACATCTACATGTGGAGGAGACATCTATGGGTGGAGAGATCTACCTGTGGGGGAGAGAGCTACCTGTTGGAGGAGAGATCTACATGTGGAGGAGACATCTATGGGTGGAGAGATCTACCTGTGGGGGAGAGAGCTACCTGTCAGGGGAGGGATCTACACGTGGAGGAGAGATCTATGGGTGGAGAGATCTACCTGTGGGGGAGAGAGCTACCTGTCAGGGGAGGGATCTACATGTGGAGGAGACATCTATGGGTGGAGAGATCTACCTGTGGGGGAGAGAGCTACCTGTCAGGGGAGGGATCTACATGTGGACGAGACATCTATGGGTGGAGAGATCTACCTGTGGGGGAGAGAGCTACCTGTTGGAGGAGAGATCTACCTGTGGGGGAGACATCTATGGGTGGAGATATCTACCTGTGGGGGAGAGAGCTACCTGTCAGGGGAGGGATCTACACTTGGAGGAGAGATCTATGGGTGGAGAGATCTACCTGTGGGGGAGAGAGCTACCTGTGGAGGAGACATCTGTGGGTGGAGAGATCTACCTGTGGGGGAGAGATCTACCTGTCTGAGGAGAGATCTACATGTGGAGGAGACATCTATGGGTGGAGAGATCTACCTGTGGGGGAGAGAGCTATCTGTCGGAGGAGAGATCTACATGTGGAGGAGACATCTATGGGTGGAGAGATCTACCTGTGGGGGAGAGAGCTACCTGTTGGAGGAGAGATCTACATGTGGAGGAGACATCTATGGGTGGAGAGATCTACCTGTGGGGGAGAGAGCTACCTGTCAGGGGAGGGATCTACACGTGGAGGAGACATCTATGGGTGGAGAGATCTACCTGTGGGGGAGAGAGCTACCTGTGGAGGAGACATCTGTGGGTGGAGAGATCTACTGTCTGAGGAGAGATCTACATGTGGAGGAGACATCTATGGGTGGAGAGATCTACCTGTGGGGGAGAGAGCTATCTGTCGGAGGACAGATCTACATGTGGAGGAGACAACTATGGGTGGAGAGATCTACCTGTGGGGGAGAGAGCTACCTGTTGGAGGAGAGATCTACATGTGGAGGAGACATCTACATGTGGAGGAGACATCTATGGGTGGAGAGATCTACCTGTGGGGGAGAGAGCTACCTGTTGGAGGAGAGATCTACATGTGGAGGAGACATCTATGGGTGGAGAGATCTACCTGTGGGGGAGAGAGCTACCTGTTGGAGGAGAGATCTACATGGAGGAGGACATCTATGGGTGGAGAGATCTACCTGTGGGGAGAGAGCTACCTGTTGGAGAGATCTACATGTGGAGGAGACATCTACATGGGAGGAGAGATCTACATGTGGAGGAGACATCTATGGGTGGAGAGATCTACCTGTGGGGGGGAGAGAGCTACCTGTCAGGGGAGGGATCTACATGTGGAGGAGACATCTATGGGTGGAGAGATCCACCTGTGGGGGAGAGAGATCTACCTGTGGGAGGAGAGATCTGTGGGTGGAGAGAGCTACCTGTCATGGGAGAGATCTACATGTGGAGGAGACATCTATGGGTGGAGAGATCTATGGGTGGAGAGATCACCTGTGGGGGAGATCTACATGTGGAGGAGAGATCTGTCAGGGAGGGATCTACATGTGGAGGAGACATCTATGGGTGGAGAGATCTACCTGTGGGGAGAGAGACACCTATGGGTGGAGAGATCCAGGAGAGACCTGGGGGGAGAGAGCTACCTGTCAGGGAGGGATCTACACGCGTGGAGGAGACATCTATGGGTGGAGATCTACCTGTGGGGGAGAGATCTACCTGTGGGGGAGACATCTACCTGGGAGGAGACATCTGAGAGATCTACCTGTGTGGGGAGAGATCTACATGTGGAGGAGACATCTATGGGTGGGAGAGATCTACCTGTGGAGGAGACATCTATGGGTGGAGAGATCTACCTGTGGTGGAGGAGACATCTATGGGTGGAGAGATCTACATGTGGAGGAGACATCTATGGGTGGAGGAGATCTACCTGTGGAGGAGACATCTATGGGTGGAGAGATCTACATGTGGAGGAGACATCTATGGGTGGAGAGATCTACATGTGGGGAGAGAGAGCCATCTGTCAGGAGAGAGCCATCTGTCAGGGGAGGGGATCACATGTGGAGGAGACATCTATGGGTGGAGAGATCTACCTGTGGGGAGAGAGCCACCTGTGGAGGAGAGATCTACATGTGGAGGAGACATCTATGGTGGAGAGAGCTACCTGTCAGGAGAGATCTACATGTGGAGGAGACATGGAGAGATCTACCTGTGGGGGAGAGAGCTATCTGTCAGGGAGAGGATCTACACGGGAGGGAGACATCTATGGGTGGAGAGAGCTACCTGTTGGAGGAGAGATCTACATGTGGAGGAGACATCTATGGGTGGAGAGATCTACCTGTGGGGAGAGAGCTACCTGTTGGAGGAGAGATCTACATGTGGAGGAGACATCTATGGGTGGAGAGATCTACCTGTGGGGGAGAGAGCTACCTGTTGGAGGAGAGATCTACATGTGGAGGAGACAACTATGGGTGGAGAGATCTACCTGTGGGGGAGAGAGCTACCTGTTGGAGGAGAGATCTACATGTGGAGGAGACATCTACATGTGGAGGAGACATCTATGGGTGGAGAGATCTACCTGTGGGGGAGAGAGCTACCTGTCAGGGGAGGGATCTACACGTGGAGGAGACATCTATGGGTGGAGAGATCTACCTGTGGGGGAGAGAGCTACCTGTGGAGGAGACATCTGTGGGTGGAGAGATCTACCTGTCTGAGGAGAGATCTACATGTGGAGGAGACATCTATGGGTGGAGAGATCTACCTGTGGGGGAGACATCTATGGGTGGAGAGATCTACATGTGGAGGAGACATCTATGGGTGGAGAGATCTACATGTGGAGGAGACATCTATGGGTGGAGAGATCTACCTGTGGAGGAGACATCTATGGGTGGAGAGATCTACATGTGGAGGAGACATCTATGGGTGGAGAGATCTACCTGTGGGGGAGACATCTATGGGTGGAGAGATCTACATGTGGAGGAGACATCTATGGGTGGAGAGATCTACATGTGGAGGAGAGAGCTATCTGTCAGGGGAGGGATCTACATGTGGAGGAGACATCTATGGGTGGAGAGATCTACCTGTGGGGGAGAGAGCTACCTGTTGGAGGAGAGATCTACATGTGGAGGAGACATCTAGCGGTGGAGAGAGCTACCTGTCAGGGGAGAGATCTACATGTGGAGGAGACATCTATGGGTGGAGAGATCTACCTGTGGGGGAGAGAGCTATCTGTCAGGGGAGGGATCTACACGTGGAGGAGACATCTATGGGTGGAGAGATCTACCTGTGGGGGAGAGAGCTACCTGTCAGGGGAGGGATCTACACGTGTAGGAGACATCTATGGGTGGAGAGATCTACCTGTGGGGGAGAGAGCTACCTGTGGAGGAGACATCTGTGGGTGGAGAGATCTACCTGTCTGAGGAGAGATCTACATGTGGAGGAGACATCTATGGGTGGAGAGATCTACCTGTGGGGAGACATCTATGGGTGGAGAGATCTACATGTGGAGGAGACATCTATGGGTGGAGAGATCTACATGTGGAGGAGAAATCTATGGGTGGAGAGATCTACATGTGGAGGAGACATCTATGGGTGGAGAGATCTACATGTGGAGGAGACATCTAGCGGTGGAGAGATCTACATGTGGAGGAGACATCTATGGGTGGAGAGATCTACATGTGGAGGAGAGAGCTATCTGTCAGGGGAGGGATCTACATGTGGAGGAGACATCTATGGGTGGAGAGATCTACCTGTGGGGGATAGAGCTACCTGTTGGAGGAGAGATCTACATGTGGAGGAGACATCTAGCGGTGGAGAGAGCTACCTGTCAGGGGAGAGATCTACATGTGGAGGAGACATCTATGGGTGGAGAGATCTACCTGTGGGGGAGAGAGCTATCTGTCAGGGGAGGGATCTACACGTGGAGGAGACATCTATGGGTGGAGAGAGCTACCTGTTGGAGGAGAGATCTACATGTGGAGGAGACATCTATGGGTGGAGAGATCTACCTGTGGGGGAGAGAGCTACCTGTTGGAGGAGAGATCTACATGTGGAGGAGACATCTAGCGGTGGAGAGAGCTACCTGTCAGGGGAGAGATCTACATGTGGAGGAGACATCTATTGGTGGAGAGATCTACCTGTGGGGGAGAGAGCTATCTGTCAGGGGAGGGATCTACACGTGGAGGAGACATCTATGGGTGGAGAGATCTACCTGTGGGGGAGAGAGCTACCTGTCAGGGGAGGGATCTACACGTGGAGGAGACATCTAGCGGTGGAGAGATCTACCTGTGGGGGAGAGAGCTACCTGTGGAGGAGACATCTGTGGGTGGAGAGATCTACCTGTCTGAGGAGAGATCTACCTGTGGGGGAGACATCTATGGGTGGAGAGATCTACCTGTGGGGGAGAGAGCTACCTGTTGGAGGAGAGATCTACATGTGGAGGAGACATCTATGGGTGGAGAGATCTACCTGTGGGGGAGAGAGCTACCTGTCAGGGGAGGGATCTACATGTGGAGGAGACATCTATGGGTGGAGAGATCTACCTGTGGGGGAGAGAGCTACCTGTTGGAGGAGAGATCTACATGTGGAGGAGACATCTATGGGTGGAGAGATCTACCTGTGGGGGAGAGAGCTACCTGTCAGGGGAGGGATCTACACGTGGAGGAGACATCTATGGGTGGAGAGATCTACCTGTGGGGGAGAGAGCTACCTGTTGGAGGAGAGATCTACATGTGGAGGAGACATCTATCTATGGAGAGATCTACCTGTGGGGGAGAGAGCTATCTGTCGGAGGAGAGATCTACATGTGGAGGAGACAACTATGAGTGGAGAGATCTACCTGTGGGGGAGAGAGCTACCTGTCAGGGGAGAGATCTACATGTGGAGGAGACAACTATGGGTGGAGAGATCTACCTGTGGAGGAGAGATCAACCTGTGAAGTAGAGATCTGCATTAGAGAGGAGAGATGTACCTGTCTGAGCTTGGCTTGAGAACTCTGCATCATATTTGGAGGAGCCAGGGCGAAGACTCCGATCACATCCAGGCCGCCCAGTAACATTCTGTTCACCTGCAACACAATATCATCCAGTGTGCAAAATATCTCCCTTCAGACCAGTGTAACCACTGTTATAGTAACTGTCACTGTGACATGTTGAATGAATTGGAATGAAAAAAATTTGATCCTATAGTTTGATATTTAACAGTTTTCCATTATATTTCAATACAGTGTTCACTGATTCTGTTTCCTTGAATGACATCATCAAAATCAGTATGACACCTTCCACCCTCCAGAAAATCTCGTCACCTTGGAACTAGCCACCGAATGTCCAGGTTACTGACAACAAACAATGTGAGTGTGTGTGAGTGAGTTTAGTTTTACGCCGCACTCAGCAATATTCCAGCTATATGGCGGCAGTCTGTAAATAATCGAGTCTGGACCAGACAATCCAGTGACCAACAGCATGAGCATCGATCTGCACAATTGGGAACCGATGACATGTGTCAAGCAAGTCAGTGAGCCTGACCACCCAATCCCGCTAGTCGCCTCTTACAACAAGCATGGGTTACTGAAGATCAATATTCTAATCCGGACCTTCACTGGTAGACATCATCAACACTGAAAACAGATACAAGTGCAATTCCACTAAAATCAGATCTGTCATGGATCTGATGACTACTCTACAAAAGCATATAATGTTGTGCTGTTTGTGCGCGCTTTGAGCATGTCCCTTTGTGGTGTGGAGTATTACGCGGTATAAGTACCATCAATATTATTATTAAATCTGATTTTTGCTTTGTAAAACAACTTGGCTTCCACCTCTTTACAACCTTGAAATAGTTGAAAAGTCAAGATACAGAAATCAGACATGCTTGTCTGAATGGTTTGTTCACTTCTACTCGAAAATCAGAAAGCCTGAATCTGAATTGGTTGATTAAGATAACACATGACGTCACTTCTTCATGTAGAGGGGTATTGCATTAGAGTAAAAGATCAGGGCCTAGATTTTCGAAGCTCTCTTAGAGCTAAGATAGTCGTAAGATAATGTTAATGTATGGCACTTACGACTATCTTAGCTCTAAGAGAGCTTCGAAAATGTAGGCCCTGATGTTAAGGAGATGGATGCTAGGGAAGAAGCACTGATATGATGTGATATGATGTTTATTTTTCTATGTTATTCAGACAGACACTTGTCATGCTAAAAATCTGCAATATAAAACCAGAAATGGTCTTCACACATTGTACCCATGTGGGGATTTAAACCTGGGTGTTTGGTGTGACGAGATGGAGTGACGAGCGGACGCCTTAACCACTAGGCTACCCCACCGCCCCTCATGTGCATGGAGACATAATTATATTTCAGCTTCATGCTATAAACCATACCTTCCATTTTGTTAATATTAACAATAATCAAGTCTTCACGTGACAACACCCAGTGACTGATATTATGAGCACTGATCCACATCATCGTGGCATGCTGACAGTCTAAACCAAGTCACTGAGCATGGCCGCTCGGTCTTCCATCCAGTTGCTGGGTAGGTATTCTAACTTGGTGTAATCTGTCTTTAGAATGATCTGTACTCACTGACTGACTGACTGACTGAGTTTGGTTTTACGCCGCTTTTAACAATATTCCAGCAATATCACAGCGGGGGACACCAGAAATGGGCTTCACTCATTGTACCCATGTGGGGATTCGAACCCGGGTCTTCGGTGTGACGAGCAAATGCTTTAACCACTAGGCTACCCCACCGCCCTCTGTACTCACTTGTGTGGCATGAGAAGAGACCCACTGTTCATCAGTGAGGTCGAGAGATTTGGGTCGGAGACAAGCTTCCTTCTTCCTCTCTGTGACTACTTCTTCTCCCTCTTCCTCCTCACTGACTTCATCCTCCGCTGGATCTGGTGTCCGAATCAGTCGGGCAACATAGTCTTTGTTGTTTGTTAGCTGTTAACAGACAAATATGTCAGAATACATCTGTCTTCTCTCTTTCAACTGGGTTAATCAGACTGAACATATGTTTCCATTTCAGATATAGATTTTGAACACTGCATTCATCATTACCTTCCCCTGGTAACATACTGATCTATTTTATATCTGAAATGTAGTTTCAGGTAGAAGACATTTATCTAAACAACAGATGAGACTAAACAAGTTAACACTGTGGCAATACTGCAGTACATGTTTTACTTGTCACTCTTAGTATCATAAAATAATGAATGAAACTAATTATCTTGACTTAACCTTGTTTTGTTTGAATATTCTTTATCCAGTCATATTCAAATCACATAAACCTGTGAATAGCCAAGCCTGGACAAAATAAACCAATGAATTGGGGCCCGGATTTTTTTAATTAACTTCTGTAATATATGAAGAACACTGCGATTTGGAGTATATTCATATTCTTATTTCTTTAAGAACATACTCAGAAAAGTTGTGTTGCCCCTTTTCGTATATTTCTTCCAAATGCCATTCAAAAAGTCCAAACCAATGATTGATATTAAGACCAATGTTTCTAACAGTCATAGTACAAACTACAAGGACACACAACAAACCAAGTTATAGAACCTAACTAGACGATCGATACAATCCAAAGCCGACTACAGTCGTATCGCTTTATGGGCAAACCAAAATGAGGTCTTGCCGGTTTAAGACGTGTGATGTTGTCAGTTATTATTTATCAGATATATGTTATTTGTAGTGTCAATATTGTTGACACCCACTATCCCATATGGAAAGACGAAAATTGGGGTTACCAACCTGCCCGACAACAAGTCCAATGTGCCACTGTCCAGACTTAATTAGCTGTTCTATGTAGGCCTCTACAGCGTCATCAGCTTGAAAAGACCGGCCCATGATCGCCTGTATTACTCAACATAAATCTTCAAGCCTATATACTTTGTTGACACATGGGCCGGAAGTGTTTACAAGGGGAGGCGACTCGCAGTGAAATCCAGCCTGGTTCCCATATTTCGGGTCTGCTGCGCTAACGCTCCTGTGGGGGCTTGGTTAGCGCAGCAGATCCCATTATGAACCAAGCTGCATGAAATCGAACCGCTCGAAAAATCCAAATGGCTAAACCCTCTGAGTTCAAATCTGATTGTTTCCTTTACCCTTTTCTATAAATGTATTTATTTTAAATATAATGTATTCTTGGATGTAAGTAAAATATCAGTCATTCCACCAAAATGGTGGCAATTAATGTTTATCCATGCCTCCATGATACACACGGTAATACACATTAGGAAATCAACAAGAAACTGTTTTGGGGGCACTTCAACTATTGTTTCGGCAAGGCTGACTAGAAAACCAAACTGTTTCACTACTGTTTGTTATCAGTACCAGTATAAAGTAGTCGGAATAAGCTCAAGAAAACTAAAAATGTAATGTCGCCAATAAATGTTTATATTTAAATAAGGTGTGGTGCAATTCTGGTGTTGGAATTGTCACAGTTCATGTTATTTCTTGGAGATAAATATATCATATTTCTTCTAGCAAAAGTACAACCACAGTGTTCCAAATCCCAAATCCTCGTTGCCAAATCTCGACTAACCTACGTAACGTATTTATTATCACCAGTGACTTCAACATACAGCCAGAAATAATTGCATTTTGCATTCAAAAGGGTTCAGAAATAGTTACTGAATATATATTGTTAGCGTTAATGTCAACATAACTAATTATACATATATATATTTAGCATCGCGTTAGAACTGGATAACACGTCTTTCTTCCTGTAAACGTTCAGATAACAAAAACTGAATTTGTTTCTGGACATCAGAAGGAGTTTGGTGTGGATGTTTAATGGAGTCACCTCGAGAGTGGTCTTGGTCAACATAACTAATTATATATATATATATATATATATATATATATATATATATATATCTTTAGCATCGCGTTAGAACTGGATAACACGTCTTTCTTCCTGTAAACGTTCAGATAACAAATACTGAATTTGTTTCTGGACATCAGGAGGAGTTTGGTGTGGATATTTAAAGGAGTTACCTCGAGAGTGGTCTTGGTGCCAGCGTAAAGAGGGGAGCTGGCAATGCTGTTAAACATGGAAAATGTTCAATACAGTCGGCAGATGACTTTTGGAAGTGGGCAGAATCATCTGTAGTTTCAGGCAGCAATTTCGATATATGTTGTACAGTCAAGAGGATTATGAAATATCACAGACAAAGCTGTGACAGAGATCATCCCCATGCCCAGTTAAAGGAACATTCAACATCCAGTATGTGGTTTGGCATTGAGAATAAACTGCATGTGAGAGATTTATCATGTTATTGTGAAACCTGTCTCAAGGATGTTTCCAAAACACAATGTGGTGGTGATCAGCTACTTAGACTGGAAACAAACCTGTCCTGAAAGATCAAGGGATAACGCCTCTCCTCCAAACCTAATGGAAAACAACCAACAGACCAAAGAGTCAGTTAAGAAGGTGAGGTGAGGTGAGGTGAGGTGAGGTGAGGTGAGGTGAGGTGAAATTGGGTTTTACGTCGTACTTGAGAATATTTCGGTCATATGACGATGTGCATGCGTGTGTATGTGTATTTGCGGCTGCTTGTACTAGCCCAGACTTAAGCTGGTTTTATAGTGCTAGCCCACTGAGATACCATGCCGCAGTGAAGCATGAATACCCCACTCAGACACATTATACTGACTCCGAGCCGACCAGTCCTTGTTGTACCCATCAATGCCGAGCGCCAGGCAGGGACCAACAAGTACCATATTTTAACGTCTTTTGGAATGACGCGGTCGGGGATCGAACCCGCGACCTTCCGCTCTCCGGGCGGACCCTCTAACCACTACACCACGGAGGCGGTCAGTCAGTTAAGAAAGATTCCGGGGTTGCAGTCATGTATAACAGAAAACGGTATGTGGGTGAAGTGTTAGAAACAGATTTAATTGATGGCGAAATATAAGTTACATTTCTGGAACAAAGAGGTAAAGACGGAAATAATTTCAAGTAGCTGAACGAGAAGGCTGATATTTGGATGACAGATAAAGTTATTATTTGTACACTACAAGAATCTCCCAAGACTGCTGGTAAATCTACTAGACTATTGAAACTATCCCCTGAAGAAATCAAAAGAATTGAAGAAATGGCCTGTCACTGTCATTAAACTGGTTAATTATGAAGTTTACCCGCTGTGGAAATTACTATGAACACATGATGGATGGATCTGACGTTTGTCCGGTTTTGATAAAACGGACATTCTTAAAGTTCAACCATGTGAGATCTTGGTAAAGTTATTGTTTTGGCTGATTATGGTGTATGTTTTATATAAACACATTTGAAATGTAATTTCCGTGTAAGTTTTTCATCAGACACGAATGTTTTCACTTAAAAGTATCTGATTACATAAGCACGAGGTAAACAAAGTTTATTGTGCTTAAACAGAATACATATTCCTCTTTAATTTGACAAATATGTAACTGGCTTGTCATAAGAGTGTCGTAACTGGCGTTTGGGTGTTAGTAAACCCTACCGCAGTTACCTATTGATTATGGTCGTTCCACATTGTCAGGGGAGATGTAAGCTCCAGCTCGGCACTCGCTTGGTCCATGGGGAATGCTCAGTCAAGGAGTGAGGGGTCGGGCGACCTTGACTCCTAACTAACTACATAACATTCATGTACTGGCCTGCATACATTCAAGGAGAAACGCAACACCAAGTTCTATACTCAAATCGGTTTACTGTCTCTCAGTCCATATCTCTCCAAGTACAACTCCAACACAAGACAGAGCAGGCTCGTATCCTACGGGGAACTTGGTAAAGTGGATTGGCTTCCGAAATGTTGAGCTAGTACTCTCTGCACTCTCTCTCTCTTAGCGCCCAAACATGCCTTTTTAAATGAGACGAGCCTGACCTGATCTTGATCACCTATTTCAACATATTGTTTTGATTCGTTAATAACTGTATCTGTCCTTTCTCTCATGTGTATTATAATTAGAGGGGTCTCGGACAGCACCATTCAGTGACTCCACTTTTCAGTGATTTGCTACTTCCGTCTCCGCCCTTTAACTCATGTATTTCGTAACCTTCCTCTTACGACCTTGTCGTGTTTTCGCCTCACGAAAAGTTTTAGCCAAGTTCATATCTCAATGTTTATCTTTCTCTTATTCCCGACTTTCTGTCTCCACTATGTGTTTAACCGTTCTTAGTCATGAGCCAAAGGTTATCAGTTCTGAGTCATATTGGTAATCGAAATACGGAATCTGCTGTAATTCTCATACTGCTTTAGGGATGCATTTTCACCTTATAACATCCTCCGCCCGTGGACAAGAGCTGCCCACAGCTCGGATGAATTAAACCTGAGTTCCAGTCAGATACGTTCAAAGTTAAACACAATATATACTATCGAAGTAAAGCAGGATCGGTAATTGCTGATAGAAAATGATAATCACTTTCAAAATTTTGAAATATTCGGGAAAACCGTAGATACTGTGTATGAAAAGACTGTCATGCCAAAGAATGATAAAATGATCCTATGTTACTTCGAGTAAATCCACAAAGCATATACATCAGACATATATTATTATGAGTTGGATCGCACAACACTTCATTAAAGTCAATCTTGAATATTAAAATGTCATTGCTATGGCCAAATATGGCACCACCATTCACAAAAAGTTCACAAGTCTCTGGTCCCATGGAATATACTGGCTCTGGTCGACTTGAAAAGTCACAGTCAAATTCCGATTGGTTCTAGGTTTACACTGAACACTGTTAATGTCCGAACAAACGGCCTGGGCGTATCGCACAGCATAGGTCTTTGCTTAGGCCTCGAAATGAAAAGATGAAATGTTCTGCACAATGCGAGAGTGAGCACTGATTTCTGCCGACAATGGACCGTGATGCTTGCGTGGGGAAACAATGTAGAGGTCCACCGTGCTGAACGCCAATGTTGAACCTTCGTGGGCGGTGTAATGTTCAGCGTTGTACACTCGTACCACAACGTTCGTCAGTATCAGCCAGTCTAGAGCCAGATAATAGATGTAACGTGGACCAGACGACTGCGGGGAGGAGCTTATCTGTTCTCCCGTCCGAATGGGGTCCGGCCAGTTATCTATAAAACTTGAAACGAGTGTTAAACCACGACAAATACTTGTATTATAATACACATTGGATACGACAGTAGAATATGTTAAATTACATTTGTGACGTCATTCCATTGTCTGTTCGTTTCATTACTTTTCAGGAATGGAGCGATGTGTACCAGTTTCAAAATAAAACCTTCATTTTGTCATTTTGACCTTTAATTTTGATAACAGAAATATTCCCAATACTTCGAATGTAATTTAAGTAGGGTTATATCCTCGTAACTCTCCATTCCTTAAAAATAATGTGCCTCGGCCCCTCCGGGGCCTCGGCTCCATTATTTTTAAGGAATGGAGAGTTACTCGGACATGAACCTCTACTTAAAACATGACACGCTCAAATCAATGTCAACCTGTGTACAGATCACAGTAGACAATAACAGCATTCTTCACTGCTTACTGCGTGTCGAATAACACTGGGATCCAATATGTAGCATGATTAGTCCTCGATACCTCTGTAACATGGCATCAAGAAATACGGATGAAATGTCATATACACCATGAATGACATCTGTAATACATATAATAGGTTACAAAAGTTAACATCTATTTGACACAACGTTCAGTAAATGCTTTGCGGTTAAAAAGACAAGAACGAACAACATAGATAAGCATGTGATGGACTGAGAGCATACCTTGAAACACGGATACAAATCGACTATAGAACAAGAATTGTTTTTGTGTTTTCATTTCTAAACATAGATATATTGATACAATGAACGACTAATAATAAGATTTATGACAAATATTAATTCAGTATGAGACAATCTAGTACAGTAGCAATGTGAACAAATTATTTCCCGCAACCCGTGAAAAATATTCGGATTATAT